GCAATGCAGATTATAGAGCCTTTATCATTATCAAAGAAATACCGGATAGTTGATAGATAAATTGACATGTCCTCATGAGTACTACCTATCTGTCAGTTACGTCTCATCCACATATGATCCCCGACTATCTAGGGAAAGCATATACAGTTATTCTCAAGTTCGTATCGTAACTCGTCCAATGACTGCCGGTTGATGACGTGTTTCTTCGTCCTGAGCAGGCCAATAACGTCTACATATCCCTGTACGTCATCGATATTCTCGATGAGACGCTGCTGCACGCCCAACTTCTCGCAGCGGTGATTTTTATATCCCACCTTTCGCCACATGTCAAGGACATATGGGCTAAAGACTAGATCCCAGGTGCCAGTCCACGAGATGACAGCTTCACCGCGTTCAGCATGGTAGGCAAAAATGGCCGCATACCCTACGCCGCCATTCCATATTTCTAGGGTTTGGAGCATGGGCATCGCAAGTGCGGCCACGCCAGCCGCTTGGAGCATCCCGTTAATCTCGTCAGCTTCTCGCTTAGAGTCCAGGAGATACGATGTCAATGTCAGAGATCGCAAGTTTCGCCAGATCCACTCTGGTTTATACGCCTGGAAGAAATCTCTTGCCTCGACGAAAAAGGTTGCCGCGATATTCTCAAATCCTAGGCTCTTATTCGCCAACGCCACGCCATTGTTGTAGTTTGGTTTTCGAACGTGTTTCTCGTTCGCCGCGCTCGATGGCATGAGAGCAGTTGTCACCAAATTTTCATTTCGATCCTCCAAGAAGACAAGCTGTTTCAATGTCGCAGGTAGCGACCCTTTTATGAGATTCACATATCCTAGTAGGTTTTTTAAGAAAATTGTTAGTCAATAAAGTCGCTCAAACAGAGACGTGAACCGTCGGCATACCTGCATCGACCATGTCCTGAATTGTTTCCAAGGGCTGTTTCCATGGCTCATAGGCCAAGTATTCCAGGTTTGGCAGTCTGTTGATAATTTGATGTAGCGTAAATGAAGTAAACCGTCGACGAGTATGTCTAGGTATGATGAGTGTTTTTACCAGCTTCAGCCGAGAAAGCTGATTGTCAAATCTGATGTGGACATATCCACCAAGTGCTCTAGACGCAGCGAGTTCAACGTTGACGGTATCTCGATATTCCGGGTTCCCTGTAAACGGCATGCGCATATCTAGACCTTTTACATGCACTCCTCTGGGGATGTAGGTAGAGTTGCTTGGCGAATGGACGCTCAGCTCTAGAGTTATGCCGCGAGCATCTGGCTTGATCACCTTTTCCCAGGAGCTGAGTATGGAAAAGAGCCTCACTATGGTGCTTTCGATCCGGTCATTATATGCCGCTGTATCTTCCAGCAGTTCCGGCCTCACGGATCCTGTCCTGTGCATGGGATAGTAATTCTCAAGCAAAATGCGAAGCCAGATGTGCTTGACGTATGGCCAACAACGCTTTGGGATCTTGGCGAGGCGGGGAAAGTCCTCATCGTCAATGGTCAGGCTACGAAAGTTTGCCTTTTCGAATATTTTCTGCCACGACTTGCAGACGAGAGCGTAGTTGGTCAGCCCATGCTTCTCAAAGCTGCTCTGCGCCAGGGTCTCCAGCACTTGGAGTCTCAGCTCCTCCGGGAGCATGCTCCACTTGGACCTCATGGTTGTAAAATGTGTGGTTCCAATGTACAATGAACTTGGAGTGTTGCATTCGACAGTTGCATGGTAGCTGGAGAGGCGAGGAATGTCACCCCATGGCATGGACCTGTATTTTTCCGCAGGTGTCACATTGGGAAGATGAGAGAAATATAAACAGAAGTGTTGGACGTTTGAGCTTTTTGGGGAGATCTTTTGGCGGGTTCTGTGACGCCTCCAGATGGAAACCAGACCGGCTGCCTGGAGGAAAAACCTGAGATTTGAAATGCCCGAAAACGGCTTGCGCCAGCCGCAGACGGCCCCACATTTAAATCGTCAACCAGAGCTGGTCAACATACCGTACCTACAGGTATCAGCACAAAAAATCGACGTGTACAATGGAACAGCCCTCTGTCTATCAATAAGTCTTTCGTATCATCCTTATGTAGGACCAGCATTAATTGTGTATTGCAGCATGGTTCTTTTTGACAATGTTATGGCAGGAGGATTTGCCTAGAGCATAGGGCAGCTGAGCGTCTATTTCTACATTGGAACTCTTGATTTGGATTTTACTTTTTTAGTATACGCCACCCAGATTACCGAGATTCGCAAAGTTATTAAAAAGGATGATATTAAAGGAAAAGGTAAAACCGCCAGGCTTCTACAGTCATCGCGACTCACTCCTATAACTATTCAACGCAACCAGATAAGTGAATGAAGCGTCTTCATCGAGCTGATACCGCCCTACCCTGCAACACTGCACATTTTCGGACTGGTAAGGCGCCTACTGTAATTAGCTTGCGGCTTGCCCAGAAGCTCAGGCACCTAATCTGCGAGAGCCATCGATAGCCAAATTTGCTATGGAGCGCCCCATCATGCTACTGGGCGCTACTGGGCTCTACTGGGCTAGCAGATGTGACGGAGGACCCATAGGGCCCTAGTTAGGTACCAAGTAGATGAGCAGCATCAGCCACACGCCTCTGCGCGACCACACGCAAACAGGGTCGGAACAATGCGCCCGGGAATACAGCACAGACAGCTCGGTGCGCGAACAGCTGGCCATCTGCACGGCCGCAGCACGCACAGCACAGCAGCTGCGTGCCCGCCATGTGCCAGCGCTGCCGCATGCCAATCAGCGATGCCGTACATATTCCCAGCAGCTACAATTACATACATACAGGCCCCGTTCTCCGTATTGCGACGGAGCCCAGCGCTCCATCTGCGCCAAATCACAAGGCATGGCCGGGATGCGTTGCTGGGAGCCTGCAAGACGCCCCATGCGCCAATATACGAAGCGAAGCCAGCGCCAGCTCTCCTTCACCGAGGCAGGCCATGTTTCTCCAGCGGCAGCTCGCTCAGCGGGTATGCTAGTGCTGCGACTGGCTCGCCGGGGCCAGATGTGAACGATCCAGAGGCTGGGCGCCAACACAGCCAATCAAAGTGGCCGGGTCAGGGCTCTTGACCCGGCACGCACAAGGAGAGGGGATAGGCGGCGCCCGACTTTCTGGGGGAGGTCTTTTTTGCTCTTGTTCCTGCTGCCCTCCCTTTGTCTGCTCTGATTTGTTTGCCGGCAGTGGCCAGTAGGAGCGCGGGAGCCCAGGAGCAGCGAGATCTCGACCCACCGGCCCATCCACGCCATGGGGGGCAGCCTAGAGAGAATGGAAGCCATCGACAGGCTTGGCGCAACTGCAGCGCAGCGATGCGAACATGCACGCCGGCTGCGGTGTACAGGTGCGAGTTGAGAGCGAATGTGCTCGCGGCGTAGGCAGGTTTTCGGCATCGGTGCTGTAGGTGGCATCTGGCAGCCCGTGCTTTGTAGGCCCAGGCAAACTACAGGTACATGGAGGCATCGTGCTGGATAGCGCCGTAGGGAGAAGTTGCATGCTTCGTATCGTCCTGGCACAGCGTCGAGAAGCTGCCCCAGCACCAAAATTGCCTTCCATGTGTCGCAGCGTGTGAGCGGGCCGCCGTGCAGAGCGCCGGCCGTGGCCACGCCTCTCCTAAAGAGGAACAGAATGAAGCCCACAATTTGGACGTTGGACGGTAAGATGAGAACTTGGCGGCCGCCATTATTAGCGGAGATTTGGGACAGGGCGCCACCGTGCGGTCGCCCTCTTACTGTACTAACTATGCCACGGTGCAGATACCCACGATGTGACTGCTGTATCTGGCGTGCAATAGCTGCTGAGATACAGTGCCCTAGCGTCACGAGCCCGGCTGTGCACACTGTCTGCTGTTCCCGCTCTAACGCCCGGAGCCAGCTACGTATACAAGGCAGAGTCGCCAGAGCTGTTGGCTAATCTCGACAAGGCCCACCCACACCTTGAACACCCCCCAAAATCTCCCCCAGCCGCCGTCCCTGCACGCCGGACCATCCCCGACATGGCCCAGCCAAACCATCACGTTTAAAGGCAATCATCTCGCTTGTGCCCTCAGTTTCTTCGGCCTCCGGTACGTCGTTGCCGCTGCCGTCGCCTCGACTCTTCCCCCAACCATCCTCCCTCCTGATCGCGAGAAAAACCTGCCATCACGAACCGTCTCCGCGCTGACACCGGTTGTTTGCGGCGACTCACGCTCGTACTGGCAGCGCTCTGCCGTTCAGTCTCTGCCCGACTCTTGACTCTTGCATCGTCTTATTTCCTTTTTTTTTTCCTGCGTCGACTCCCTAAATCTTGCGTACCCGTCGGGCGCGTCTCAGCTCCTCGCCAACCCCCGGTAATTTTCGTTGGAAAGGGCATTTCGGAGAAACGAACGGCACGCTGCTGCCAAACGCCCCTTGCGGGCTGACATTCTTTTTTTTTTATTTTATTTCCCATTTTCATTATCCCTCTTGGGTTTCTACCATCTTTCCTTGTATTTCTTCCTTTCCTTCTTTTGACTGCGTTGAAAGCTTGGAATTGGGAGCTGGCTAGCTTGCCTTGAGTATTCTGAGGTAAGTGCAGATGCATAAGCGGTTGCGCTAAAGCTGCGCAATTTTACATTGCCTCGTCCACGATTGTCTGCGATGAGCTGTTTCACTATCAGGCTGGAGGAGATGTGTTTGGCAATGGAAAGCAAGTGCTGTGGCGTTTTTGATCCATCTGCGATGACGCCTCATCCCTCGCCAACTACGCTCTCTTGCCCTGCATTGTGTTTTGCTCTTCCTTTTTCCTTCTTCTTCTTTTTGCGGCCCAACTGAGCCTCGAAGCTGGAAACGACGTTGCACCTTTCAAGGCGCACGGCTAAAAGCGCATCGCCTCGTCCTATCGCGATTTGTGATTGATCAAGTAAGGCTGACAAACCCAATGCAGTGACGGTTCGCAATGTCCGAAACAGCCGTGGCGACGACCGCGATCGTCGACTTCAAGCAAGACAAAGTTCCCCTCAGTTCCGGCTCGGGGAAAGAAAAAGAAATGCTGTCGCCAGAGGATGGAGAGGGCTCCGACAAGAGCCGGGGACTCCTCAAGGTGCCGTCGCGAGCGTCATCGCAGCAGAGGAACCAATCTTCGACGACCACGACTGGGTTAAGCGGGGCCACGATCAACGATCCACGCAGCAGCATGGGCAACAGATCCAGAGAATCAAAGGGCAGCTTTTTGGATAGACAGCGAAACGGAAGCTCCAGCGGCGATGCTGAGGCTGCTCGCACGACCGAGATTTCGCAGCCCAGCTCTCCTTCGGCAAGCGAGCAGAAACGGAAGAGGAAGAAGAGCAGTGGATTCTTGGCATTGCTGGGATGTTGTGGCGTGCCTGATTCGGCCAATACCGTGGACCCTACCCAGGGGATTCACAAGCTGGATAGAATACCTCAAAGACCATTGACGGCCAAGTCAAGAACACAGACGCCCCACGATCAGACCCCGACCAAACAAAGCAACGAAAAGCCACCCGTGCCCACAAGCGCCGTCCTGCAGGGCAAGGATGATGCCGTCTCGTCGAGCAGCACTCAGGAACAGACCAAGATGCAGGAGCCGACAGACCAAGAGACAAAGCACCTTGGCCCAACCCTTACAGTCGATCCTCCGACCCCTCTTCCTGAACCGAACGAAGAAGTTCGAGAGATAGAAGAGGTTGAGGAAGATGCGGAAATGCAAGATGTGCCGGTAGTAGAGGAAACCCCAGAGGTGCAGTCAGAGGTGGCACAGCAGGAAGCTCATGACACCGCGATGCCCCCTCCCCCGCCTGGTCCTGGTCCGAGCCCTCTGGTGACCTCAGCACTCATTTTGACACAAGAAGGACCCTCAGCACCAGAACCTCAAAAGTGGCTATTGCCCCCTATTGCCCCCGAGCACAAAGGAAGAAAATGCCTTGTTTTGGATCTGGATGAGACCTTGGTCCACAGTTCATTTAAGGTTTGTTCCCCCCCCCTTATTGATATGCAATATCACGAGTTTTGGCTAACCACAAGCCTCCAGATCCTTCATCAAGCCGACTTCACGATACCAGTTGAAATTGAAGGCAATTATCATAATGTGTATGTCATCAAGCGTCCTGGTGTAGACGAGTTCATGAAGAGAGTTGGAGAACTTTACGAAGTAGTAGTCTTTACGGCATCAGTTTCAAAGGTGAGTGTAGCTTCCCCCCGGAACCTCTGGCAGAAAGAAGATGGGCTGACCTGTCGTGCGCAAACTAGTATGGCGATCCTCTCCTAGATCAATTAGATATACACGGCGTTGTTCATCATCGTCTGTTCCGCGAGAGCTGTTACAACCACCAAGGAAATTACGTCAAAGATCTCTCACAAGTTGGTCGAGATTTGAAGGATACAATCATCATCGACAACTCACCTACCTCATACATTTTCCACCCCCAGCATGCTGTTCCCATCAGCAGCTGGTTTTCTGACGCGCATGACAACGAGCTGCTAGACCTTATACCCGTTCTTGAGGACCTCGCTGGCCCCGGTGTTTCGGATGTCAGCCTGGTTCTCGATGTCACTCTCTGAGATACCACACCACCCCCCCAAAAATTTTCATTGGTTTCGTTTTTCCCTTTTCATTTTCAGCAATAAAACAACAACAGCCCGATCTGCAGCATTGCCGTCATAGCGGGAGGCGTTTGGTTGAAATCTCTTCGTTTCCGGGTGTAGATGTACTGTCTAATCTTACATAATCGGCCTCGATCTATGGAACGCAGCTCCTCAGCCTGCGGAAGTTCTTTTTTTTATTTTGTTTTCCCTCTCCGTCATCAAGACGGAGAGATGAGCGAAGTTGGCTGGGAGTTTGAATTGACCAAGATCTCCAACTGACTCGGCAATCGCATCTAAACGACTCGAAAGGAAAGAAAGACAGAAAACGTTTTCAAAAAAAGGAGGAGGGTCAAGTTGACGTCTTGGGACAAGAAAAGGCCATTCTTTCCTATAGATTAAGGGTTATTTTTCAAATCCTCACTGCCTGGGCAACGGGCTCGCATACACGTCGATCCTGTGCATTGGAGCTTTGGGGATACGTCTCACACCTCGAGCGTGTCAAAAGATTGTTGGCAATGTCTGGGCTGTTCATGCTGTAATTTTTACTCTGGCAAGCTGACATCTTTCTCACACCCTGTTTTGTTTTTCTTTCTTTTCTTCTTCAATCTTCTTCGTCATACCTTTTTCATCTTTATCTCTCTCTCTCTCTCTCTCTCTCTCTTTCTGTGATTCCCTTTGTGTTTCTTTTTCTCTTCTCTTCTTCTCACTTTTTATACACTTGTTTTTTTTTGCCTGTCTTGCATTGTTTTTGAACTATACACATACCACGCGGCGAGTCTGCGAAGCAGGTTTTGAAGGGAGGGCAGCGACTGAAGCGGAGTAAAGCTGAGATGGCGGCGAACATGGCTAGCGAAGGTTTTTTGGAGGTTGCTTGAGGGGCCTCCTTCATATATAGTCTTCCCCAAATTGTAAAAATACCCCGAGCCTCTATATGGCCTTTGTAATGAATCAATGTGAGATACTCAGAATATATGTTGATAGGAAAGCGTTGCGGTTTATTGGTTGCAAAAACGATAAATTGTTTAAGCTTTTAATCTTCTTTATACTAATAGTTTCACTTTCTCAACATGAAAAGTCTCCAAAATCGCTCTTCCTGAAGCAAACTATGTGCTAGTGCTAGTAATGTATGCTGTTGGTTGAATAATGAAATCAACATGGCCCTGTTTTCGAAACACTCCATCATGAATCCACCGATTGGAATTCAATAGAGCTCTACAGCTACAGCTACACTGCTACAGTATGCAATGCGTGCGCTAAAAGTGTGGGTGCGCGTCCGCTTCTCTGGGGTAGCGGAGAAATGTTCGGCCGCAAGTGCTGGATTTCTGTGAATGTGGCCTTAACTCTGGTCCTTTGGGGCCACAATTCCACCAGCCCGTGCTGCGCCAACTCCAACCCTTCTGCTCAAGTACATCCCTCTTGCTTCGCACTCTGTCAATTCGATTCAAGAATCCTGCAGCGATTCGTGGTCGATTCTTTCCTTTTCTTCTAATACCCAACAGCACACTCCTTCATCATGGTATGCGCGCTTCTTGTTCTATTGAAATTGAGAATCCATTGGGGAACGACGGGTTTGCGGCGCTCGTGTGTATCGCGTCACAAGACCGAATCGCTTGATGCGCTTTGCAATAAGTTGTTGACCTGCGCGCTTTGCAATGGATGATGTGTTGAGATTCACTTGGTTGCTCATTGCTAACATTCGCCTTTCTCTCTCTGCAGTCCTCTCGTCCCTCCTCACCCGCCAATGGCCCCGCCGCGGCCAGCGGTTCCAGCATCAGCCGACCTTCTTCTCCCACTCCTCCCGGCGGACCCCGAACTGCCATCCGTCGACGTGCTGCTGCCGACCAGAAGGAGAAGCTTGCCAATGCTAGGCCAAGCAGCACACGGGCCGCCGGCGCCGGCGGCTCCAGCAGCACCATGCTGAGTACGTGCTATAAAGCTTTGTCACATGGAAGATTTACGTGCTAACGTGAACAATCGCAGGACTCTACACTGATGAGTCTCCCGGACTGAAGGTTGACCCCGTCGTTGTTCTTGTTCTGTCTCTGGTTTTCATCTTCAGCGTTGTTGCTCTGCACAGTGAGTTATTAGCCGCAATGGTTTGATATCATAGTGTTTGTGTGTTTGCTAACTTGTCCTTAAAGTCATTGCCAAGATCAGCCGCAAGTTCTCGAGCTGAACGACTTTTCATGCATGGGAAATTCTAAGTGATGTGGAAAGAGGGGGGAGAGAGAGAAAGAGTGGTGTACCATTTGGAGGGAAAACGGTTCCAAGAACGGCGCAGGTTTCTATAAAATACCATATCTAGCTGCCACGAGGCTGACTGCGGAGGAAAAGGGCTCTCACGTGTGGATGTATGGATTCGGTAGATCCATTCTGCCCACCCTAATCACCATGGAGTCTGAGCGACCATGACATTTTTTTTTGTATTATATGAGCAACAAGGTTATTCCAATTTTCGTATGCGGTTTTTTCCGTCTATCCAAGTCTACGCCGTTCTTTATTTTTGTAATCACGAGAGAGCTTAACTTCAGTGATGGGAGCTTGATCAGAGCACTGGCTAAGCAGCAATATCCTTCTTGGGCGATGTAAGATTGTTCCCAAATAGGAAGAATTCATTGAGCGCAGCCATGTATCTCACTGCTTATCCAACACATCTTCTACTTCTACAAGCTCTCTTCTCTGGTCCTGCTGGTGGATATACCGCCCGGAACCTGATCCGTTCTGTGGCTGCATGTAGCTCGAATATTTCCAAAATGGTAACTGGCTGGAGGAACCGCTGCGTGTAACAAAGTATCCAGTGGGCTGTGTACCATGAAGAGGATCTGCGCCTACCTACATGGACCTGCCTGGAGTGCCTGTCTGAGTTATAATTAGCAAAGCTATTGAATAAGCTAAAAACCAAGCAACCAATTTTAAAAAGCACAAAAAATTGCATCTGCGGAAGTTCCCATTATGCGACAACATGTAAAATCTCTAGCCGTCGGAGCTTCCATATCACGCGCTGGGCGCATTATTAATGAGCGGCGAGTAATGATGGACTCAGTCATCGGTCAGGGCCTGTCAATCACCGCCACCAGCGCTGGCCATCACTGAAATGCTGGGCCGAATAGTGGACAGCTGGAACTAGCCGCCTGCAGCACTGACGCAGACACGGCGCACCGACTGTTGCGATCTCTGGAGCGCTCTAGCCTCTCATACGCGCATCCAAATACAGGGGGGTGATGTTGAGTGTGCGTGCTAGGCCGCGATGATATCAACTGTGCGAGCTGCTCCAAAGCATTGAGGCCTCTCTCTCATGAGCGCCCACGTCATCGCCCGACCGCCAAAATCAGGTTAAGTTCGAAGCCGCAACCTCGGTTTCTGTATGTTGTGTTGCCATTGAATTTACTGCGACTTGGACAAAGCAAACGAACCGATTACTATCAGCCTGGCCAACCATGCGTCTGTACATCTGCAGGTGACGCTCACACAATTCGCCCCTAGCTTGCACCTTTGACCAAGCGCTGTTCGGGCTCTCTCGTCTGCTCTCTACTTCGTTCCAGCCGCAATTGCTGTCTGGGTAGAGAGAATACAAACTCTAGATTGAATTTTCGGTGACGGCCTCTAGCCATGGCGCCCGACGAGAACCAGCGCAGTCGCCCCAAGAGGCAGCCCTCGACGAGAACCCCGCCTCGCCGACGAGATCGGGCTGCCTCTGAGGCTCTGGTGACGGACGGCTTCGTGCTTCCCGCCCTTGAGGCACCGGCTGATGCGCCTCCGGCGTACGGAAACCATCATGACCAGCTTCAGTTCAAGCGCAGTGGATTTGACGCCGAGGCGGCTGTAACAGGTGCGTATCTGGCCTGCCATCTCACCTCTTCTTTACGCCGCATTGCGCTGTGCATGAGAGGGGTCATCATCATATTCTTGTCTTCTTCTTCTTCGACGAGCCTCGGCTTGCTAACATTGATACCCCAGGTGACGGAAGAATCAACATCAACATCAACACCAAGAACCACAGGCTTGCTGAGCTTCTTGCGCCAAGTATCGCCAACCAAATAGCCGTGACTGTCCAGCCGACACGGCCACCGGTATACACCCTCCCGAGTCTCGCTGGTGAGCCTGGCAAGCAGCCTCCGCCGCGGCTCAATGTCGTGATTCAAATTGTTGGATCGCGTGGCGACGTTCAGCCCTTTGTTGCGCTAGGAATAGTCCTCAAGGAAAAGTATGGCCACCGGATCCGTATTGCAACGCATCCGACGTTCCAGAAGTTTGTCGAAGAGAATGGCCTTGAGTTTTTCAGCATAGGAGGAGATCCCGCCGAGCTCATGGCCTTTATGGTAAAGCACCCGGGACTCATGCCTGGTCTAGACGCCTTGAAGAGCGGCGAGATCGGCAAGCGCCGCAGGGGCGTTCAAGAGATGCTGCTTGGGTGCTGGAGATCTTGCATCGAGGCGGGTGATGGACTGGGACCACCGCCAGAACCTCACAGAAAACTCGAGCCCTGGGATCCGGATGCTGGCATGCCTGGAGATCCAAACCACGAGCCCTTTGTGGCCGACGCAATTATCGCGAACCCGCCTAGTTTTGCTCATGTTCATGTTGCAGAGAAGCTTGGAATTCCTCTGCACATGATGTTTACGTGAGGAATCTCTAAAATAACGCCCTACCCCTTGTCACTAACATATCCTGTAGAATGCCTTGGTCACCTACGCGAGCGTTTCCTCACCCACTGGCGAATATTCAATACTCGAATGCCGACGACGTTCTCACAAACTATTTGACTTATACCCTGGTTGAAATGATGACATGGCAGGGATTAGGGGATATCATCAACCGATTCCGTGAGAGTGCATTAGATCTTGCTCCCCTCTCGCTCATCTGGGCTCCAGGTCTTCTCAACAGGCTGAAGATTTCTTATACTTACTGTTGGTATGTAATCGGCGGAGTAACTACCTGCAAGACCATAATATCTCTAACAGCCTGTGTAGGTCACCGGCGTTGATTCCGAAACCGAATGATTGGGGCTCGCATATTGATATTTCTGGATTTTACTTTTTGAATCTTGCATCTTCGTATACTCCAGAGCCTGATCTTGCCGCCTTTCTAGAGGCTGGCCCCCCTCCAGTCTATATCGGCTTTGGCTCCATTGTGGTTGACGACCCAAATGCCATGACCAGGATGATATTTGATGCTATCCACCTTGCTGGCGTCCGAGCTTTGGTTTCGAAGGGCTGGGGAGGCTTGGGAGCCGACGCGGTGGGACTACCAGATGGCGTATTTATGCTTGGCAATGTTCCTCATGACTGGCTCTTTGAGAGAGTTTCTTGCGTCGTTCACCATGGAGGAGCTGGAACAACCGCCGCCGGCATAAAAGCTGGTAAACCCACCCTTGTGGTTCCCTTCTTCGGGGACCAGCCATTTTGGGGCGCCATGATCGCAAGGGCCAAAGCCGGACCAGATCCGATTCCCTATAAGGTGTTGACAGCAGAAAATCTTGCCGAGGCGATCAAGTTCTGTCTTAAGCCAGAAACGCAAGATCAAGCAAAAGCGCTTGGCCACAGGATTCGTGAAGAAAACGGCACAGAAGCGGGCAGCCGAAGCTTTCATAACCACCTTGACATTGATTCTCTGCGCTGTTCCGTGGCTCCCAGCCGAGCTGCGGCTTGGCGCCTGAAAAGAACAAAGGTGCGGCTTAGCCCACTGGTTGCTGCGGTTCTCGTCAAGCAAGGCCTCTTGAAATATACCGACCTTAAACTGTAAGAAGAAAATGACAGTCCAACTTGCTCTCGTTTACGATGCTAACCATTTCGTCTAGATACCGCCCTTACGAGTACAACACGGAGGACCAGCCTCCCGATCCAATCTCAGCAGGTGCTTGCTCTCTTGTTACTGATATTAGCGACATTGGCATGGCCATAGTGGATATGCCTTTGGATATACTGAAAAGCCCTAAAAAAGCTAGGGAGTCTTTAAAGGACAGTGGTAGCCAGGCAAGCGGCGATGATAGTGACACAGGTTCAAAACGGACTTCGACTCTGGACCGCCCTGGTGTCAAGTCACCAGTAAGGACCAGCGGAGAGTCTGCCGGAGAAACAAGCGCTACCACGGGACAACTTACTCAGTTTCCGACACTGCCAACGCAAATTGGTCGAACACGATCCCCTACTGTCGAGAGCCAGGGCAGCCGTTCATCATCTCGCCGAAGGGCGCTCTCTGCAGCCGCGACCATGGAGGCTGCAGTGGGTACGACCAAAAATGTTGGGCGTATTGTGTCTACAGGAGTCAAGTCGCCCATGAACTTTTGTCTCGGGCTCGCAAAAGGGTTCAGGAATATTCCACGGTTGTATAACGATGACACCGTTCGATCAATCGAAAAGGTCACGGATTTCAACAGCGGTGTGCGAGTCGCCGGGAAGGAATTTGGATTCGGCCTTTACGATGGTATCTCAGGACTGCTTACGCACCCAATGAGAGGAGCACAAAAGGAGGGCGCTGCTGGGCTGATCAAGGGCGTTGGAAAGGGTATTGGAGGACTCATTGCGAAGCCCGCGGCAGGTGAGTGATCTAATAAGCGTCTTATTTTCAAGGTGTGCTAACAATCAGCGTGCTAGGTTTTTGGGGTCTCCCAGCATACGTGATGCAAGGTGCCTATGCTGAACTTAACAAATTCTTGTCAAGAAGTGTGCAGAACTACATCATCACATCGAGGGTTGTTCAGGGCGAACGAGACCTACAGAATGCATCAGAGGGAGAGAAGGCCGATATTATCTATAGGTGGAACCACGACTCTGATTTAAAGACCATTCAAGAAACAAAACTGAGGGGACAAGACAGAGAACATTCCAGAGTCGGGTCTGGAGGCGGACCGACATCTTGGTTCCCTACCCTTCAGGATGGGCGGCGTCAAATGGGGGCTGCATTGGAGGAAAAGCCGCGGCGACAGCGATCGCGATCCGGTCGAATCTCAAGGGGCTTTTCCCTTTCCCGCTCCTCGTCTCCTGCGCCCGTCAACTGGGAAGAATCGCTCAATACTGACGCAGAATTTGAGGAAGCCATCATGGCCTCCGTCAGAGAGACTTCTCGTGGAAATGATGAAGAAGACGCCATGGTTGAAATAGCTATTCGCGAGAGCATCATGGCAATGCAGCAGCAGGGTTCTTCTCTCCCTGATCCTGTGCGCTTAAAAACAGAAGGCAGTAAGAACTCAGCAGACGTTTTTGAAGACGAGGAGTATAAAATCACGGATGAAGAGTATCAGAATCTCATTGAGCAGGCTATTCGCGAGAGCCTGGCTGGGCACGAGAAGGAACTTTCTGTCCTGCCAGGGTCCAGCTCACGGGACCTCGACGTCAAGTTTGCGCAGACTGATGAGCCGCGCAGCAGTGGCTCAGCGTTTACACCGAATACCGACGAGGATACCGATTTACAGCGTGCCATTGTTGAGTCCCGCAAGGTGCCTCCTACTTTACCTCCGCGGGAGAAGGAAGATGATGAGGAGGAACACTTCCGGAGGGCTATTGAGGCGTCTATGAATGAGATGGAACGGATTAAAAAGGAGAAGACGGAGGAGGAGATTGTGATGGAATATGTCAAGAAGCAGAGTTTGGCTGAGGACGAGTTTCAGAAACGGAAGGATTCTAAAGGGAAGGGGAAAGAGGTATCAGAAGTTGCGAGTAACGCTAGCGATGACGAGGAGCTCAAACGGGCTATCGAAGAGAGTTTGAAGATGAATGGCGGAGATGGTGATGGGCCTTCAGGGCTGTAAGTGGCAAAACGCTGAAGAAAAGAAGCCTTGAGAACTGATGCATTGTTTTGACCGATATAAGATAAGATATCCCATTGAATGTTTTTATTATTTCATCATACAACTGATATGAGCTGGTAGCGTACATATCACTGCTAAAATAAATTATAAGGTATTGATCAAATTTCATGAAAATTGCTATTCTTATTCCTCGTTAGTGAACAATGATTCATCCTTTTAATGAAATCTGCATACGCTCTTGAATTACGTAGTAGGATAGCGATTATCCTCGTATATGTGGTTCAAATTCGCTTAAAAATAAAAGATTCATCATCAAGCCATATGCCCGCCCACAGTAATTTGGAAGGTTGTCCCATTACTCGTGTAGAGTCATTAAATGTATCTTGGGGCAGTGACAGTGAGTTGTGAGCTTAACCGACGTCAAGATATATTCCTGGTAGTATCCTTTCATCCCTCCGCAAAGGCTGTGGCAATTGGTTGTTCGAAGCTCTCTCCAAGTTGTAGGGCGGCCCTGTACTCCTCGAGGCAGGATTCGAGATTCATCAGTCATCTGCGATGGGCGGCTCTGTGATAGAATTCTGCGTAGCTCGCCATGGCCCTGCCTGTAGTGCGTGCATATGGCCTCTCCGGGTCTCACGACTTATCTGCGGGCGCTTACTGGATTTCCTTCCAGAAGAGCTGGGAGGCAATCAACAGCTGCATTTTTGAGCCGTGACTTAGCCGTATCTTGCTGGACGTTGGCCTTGGGGCTGTTGTTGACCCCATCCTGGATTTGCCGGCGGGGGGAACGGACCAGGCCCGGCGTTGCCGCCTTCGGCCATGGAGACGACATCCGGGCGATTCTTGAGCGGCTGGTGGAAGTTGCAAATGGAACAGACTACTTCAACAAAGCCGGAGATGGTGAATGGGATGATGGGCTGTGTTGAAATGTTAGTCTGATAATTCATGTATCCAATCTCATATAATCGCAGCTGATTCAGAGCTGTGTCTCAGACGCGTACTTGATGCGACCAAGCGACATTGTACACGCTCTGTGACTATGACGGTATGGGAAAATAATGACAATAACAACTTACAACAAAGCAAAAGGTGAAAAAGGGCCGGCTTTTGATGACTCGCGCAGACATGTTGCCACAGTTGTGGCACTGGCAGATGACGCCCTCATAGCCCTTGACCTCTGAGCGAAAGGTGTGCTGGCCGCAGACGAAGAAGAAGAAGACCATGGCGGGCAGTTGAAAACGCGAATAGGTAGGAAGAGATTGAAGATGAGGGAATTGGAGAAAAAAAAAGAAGCTATAATGATGATAAAACAAGGAGGCTGTGTATAAAAGCGGAGAGGAAGATTAGAAGGAAAAGAAACGTTAGTTACGTATGCGCCAAGTCTGTTCTCTTGGCGGGCTGATGGTCGTCCGATCGGGGTGATTGATGGGCAGGCGCGAACGATGATTGACGCTGCCTTCCCCGCGAGAGGCGGGTTGGTTTCGGGCTAGGCTGGATTCGGTGCTGCTGCAAATAAGGGCATAAGTACCTTTGTATCTTTAACCAGGGTTATAAGTGGTAAGATAACTGCAACTAAAAAATCATAAACACCAGGCAGACTATAATGATGAGTTGAAATTTTGGAAATTAGTTCAACACAGGATATTTGTTGATTTTCGTGTTGGAGTAGAACAAAGGTCTCTTATTTACTGGATACTTCAAGGCCACTGCAGCTGAGGATGTCTCTTCCCTTTTGCTAAAAGACTCGCCAACTCTATCCACTCTCCTTATAACTTACAATTGCTCATGACTCAAGCACATACGACCATAGGTAATGGAAAATTCGGGGTCCCGTCTGCTCCCCCATAGACAAGCCATTAACCGGCAGATTAGTAGTTGAGTGGCTGACCATCAGCGAACACCGGCTGTTGTATGTTTTTATTTTTTGCTATTCTTAGAAGAAGTTGTTCCTGTTGAGATATAAGCGCTTCTAGCAGGCGATACCATCACATACGACCATATCCATTTGAATATACGGGATCCCGTCCGCTCTCCCAGAGTCAAGCCAATGAGAGGCAGATTAGTAGTTGAGTGGGTGACCATCAGCGAACACCGGCTGTTGTATGTTTATTATTTTTTTTTGTTCTTCTCTATCATGTATGCTGGCCCGTTCATTGAATGCTTTTCTATTACTCCTTTCTGTGGCTTCCTGCTTATGGTCTATACAAGTAGACTAAGCACGGAATCAAGTATATATGACTATGCTTGATGGAATATTCAAAGGTAAAATGAAGAGAAATTAGCATTTACTTAAATGACTTGATAATATTAACGCATCCCTTTCTTATACTAATTTTATTCCAATGTCCTTTCGTAGATAGAGTTTAGTGAACCACGCTTTGTCTATCTACCAACCAGTGCCTTTTGATGAGTGAGAGGATGAGATGCCAATACAACTTTTCACGCCGAGGTTCAACTCTTTCAGAGCGTAACATGTCTTGAATTTTCCGAGTACATACGTTGGTCATTATAAAACTATATATGCCATAAACGAAGCTCCATTCCGCCATATGCTCAACCAGTCTGTTTCCAAGTCTAAGCGCCGAGATCGCAAGGCAGAGAGCCGCAGCAGTACCCGTGGCCCGCACTCAAAGCGCCCTCAAAGTCAATGTTGTGGCACCCATCGCTGGTCCTCCAAAGGCTGGCGTAGAAGTAGTAACCTCCAGGAGTAATCTCATTGAAGCTAAACAACGTTGAAGTCAGCCATCTCTACGTCGTGACCGTCATCTTTGATGTGCGCAGTATTAACTTACAAGACTGATTTCCCACCGCTGGAAAAGCCGCCGACAAGCTGGCCAGAGTATTTTGACCCAGTGTTGTAGTCGGTCAAGGTGATGGTTTGAGAGGCTGGGCCCTCGCCAGTGACTTCAAGATTGCCAGCAGCCATTTGGCCCCAGAAGGCAGCGGCAGGGCCTGCAAGGGCGGCGACAGCACCAAAGAGGGTAGCGACCTTCATTTTGAATCAGGGCTTATAAGAAGATTATGAGAGATTGGCTTGTAATGTAGTAATAGAAGTGATGAATTACTCGGGAAATGCTTGTGTAGATCTGATGGCCTTCTTATAGTATTCAAGCATTAGAATGCGTCGTACAAGCTTATTTCTATCTCTACTGTCAAGGCTCGCTATTGGTTAAGCTGAGGCTTCATGTTTACAATATAAAATTACAATTACTATTCCTCTGGAGTACACAAACACTACACACCTTCTTCTTGAGTGAAAGCGCCTCTGCATTCCATTCCATAGCTTACTTGCGAGTAAGATTTAAGCTGCTTGAACAAAGTCTTGATTTAGAATTAAATCTAAGCTAAAATGTTGTTTTGGAAGACTTGACAATGACTAAAGACTTTGCTCCATACAATTCTCTTCTCACCGCCTAATATGATACCGGTAGCAATGTTAACGAGAACGGAGAAACAGGAGCAAATTGATCTGTTTGGTGGAGAATTTCACACGACTATTGTCATTCGCAGGGGTTGTTGTAACCCACCTTGTGAAAAAGAGTAATACAATTAAGTAAACCAAAGACCCAAATAATCCTTATAAACAGGTAAGCGACTTTGTATACGACGTATCTATCATGAATACAGCATAGCCTCGCCGGTAATCTGCTCGCTAGTGTACATAATTCGATCCTGATTATTATGAATCCATGGCCAGCTGCTAATTTCCTCCCTTTACACAACGTCAGATCCTGTGGTGTTGAGTCGGATAAACCGTAATACTACCACCACCACCAATGCTACCGCCCCCACCCTTTGCGAAACCATTTCCTAGAAGTTGCTGAGATGCAGTCAGCTAGGCCGCATATATTAATAATTTCCACAAATGGACGTCCACATGCGTCTTGAAAATTAAGCGACCGTAAGCTCATTTGCAGTAGTGTATTCGGCGGTGCTTTGAGTCAACTCAGGAGGACTACTGATGTGAGCCATGGCTGCTAAGAACAGTGGTTCCTGTACAGAATGGCCAGAATAGTAAAGACTTCAGTGTAAGCAGGGCACGACCATAAGGATACGGCGCATTTATAGGCTAGGCACCAATCTAATTTAGGCCGCGATACCGAGTCTCTATAAAACTGCTTTTATTAGGGGAAAGGTATCCAGCAGCCTGGTTCGTTTCTCCAGCACTCGAGCTATAGCATGGGCAGCTACTGCAGCTACTGACGCTACTTATTCTAGGTGTATTGAATGATTAATTCAATAATTTGATGGGTTTTAGACCCATATAGCCCAACTGATTTATTCAGCAATAGCTGGAAAGCTATAATACAACTGAGATGCTGGACAACCTTTCCCCTCTAATATGCTGGACGTGGGGCGGATCTACCGGTACTCTGGCACCTAACCCAGCTGAGCAGCCCCACCAACGACTGCAGCTGCGCTAGGAATTTCCTGCGACCTTCTATCTTTCTACCATCTCCAAAAAAAAAAAAAAAAACCGATTTCACCTGTCCTCATACCAGTCGCAAAGCTCAACAACCTCGACCTTGAACTCATTGAACTCATAGACCTCCATTCCTACATCACCAGCGATATAATCAATCTAACCATCACGCGAATCAACCAACCTCTCCTCTCTCCTGCCCGTAATGCCCAGCTAGGCAAAGAAGAAAAAAAAAACACCAAACCAATCCTCCATCTCGAATCTTTCTCCCACCACAATGCTCTACGACCTCAACATCGCCTGGTCCCCGGCCACAACCACAGAGCGCCTCCTCCAAACGCTCACCACCGCCTCCTCTCTCGGCTACGCCACCGTCGCCCTCAACCACACCCTCGAGCTGCCCTTCCCCGCCAATCCCACAACGCCGTTCCCATCGCTCCCGACCTCTTCTTCTTCTTCTCCCGACTCCAAGCTGCCGCACGTCCTCCACCGCGCCACTCTCCCTCTCGCCGATCCAGCCGCATCAAACTACCGCCTCCCATCTTTAGTCGGCGTCTACGACCTCCTCGCCATCCGGCCCCTCACCGAAAAGGCCTTTCAGAATGCCTGCCTCACTCTCGACATTCCCATCATCTCGCTGGACATGGCGCAGCATTTCCCCTTTTACTTTCGCCCCAAGCCCTGCATGGCCGCTGTATCGAGGGGCGTGCGCTTCGAGATATGCTATTCCCAGGCCTTGGCCGCCGATCCGAGGGGACGCGCAAACTTCATCTCCAATGCGACCAATCTCATCAGAGCTACCCGAGGGCGAGGCATAATAATAAGCAGCGAGGCGAAGAACGCATTCGGTCTGAGGGCTCCCGCCGATGTGGTCAACTTGTTCAATGTATGGGGTCTTCAGAGTGAAAAAGCTATGGAGGGGCTGAGAACAATACCGCGCAGCGTGGTGGTCAACGAGGGGATGAAGAGAGACGGTTTCAGAGGAGTCATCAACATCGTCCAGGTGGTAAAGAAGAATCCAGTGGAAGGCGACCAGACGGATGACCAGTCCTCGGCGACAGACCAGCCCGGCAAGAGGAAGAACCAGAAACGAAAGAATGGTGGGGAGGATGGACAAACTATCAGCAAGCGAGAGGCAAAAAAGATGAAACTGGCAGCAAGAGCAGCAGCATCGGACAAAAAGTGAGTCAGCAATATACATTTGTGTGCAGATGTTGGGCCTTGGGCTCTGAGAGCGTCTACAAAACAGCGTAATGGAGGCGTGGGAAGCAGCATTGACGGTTTCAAAAGCATGATACCCCCTAAATAGACTAGAAATAACGTCTTGGATTTTTCTATTTTTTTCTTTGCTTTACTAGAGCAAAAAGACTAAATGAATGATATATATACGAACACACGCAAGCATACATGACCTTTAGCAAACTGTGACTAACAACTGGTATCTCAAAATCTCTCTAAACCATTAAAATTCCCTCATTCCTCTGGGCTACATACACTACACGTCTATTTATTCCGCTCCCCGAATCTCATGATTCAATGATGATAGAAGGGGCCGCGGCGGCCGCTGCTGTGAGCGTGGGCGCCGCTGGAATGGCAACCAAGGCGCCCAAATTCAGCACACTATTCAGCTCATAGCCCTTGAGATCCGGCGCCGGAGCTGAGAAGATAGCGGGCGCGGTTGCTGCCGGGGGAGGGGGAAGGGGAGCTGGTTCTCCATCTGGCAGTGGGACACTGGAAGCAAGACTGCCAAGAACGAGAGTATTGGCGGGCGCAGTGGGAGCCACAGAAGCGGGTGAATCGACGGGAGTAGCTGAGCTTGCGGGAGCAGCTGTGGTTGCGGGAGCAGCTGTGGTTGCAGCGGGAGCAGTCGTAGCAGGAGCGGTCGTATCAGGAGCACTGGACACAGGAGCACTTGAAACAGGTGCACTCGAAGCAGGGGCTGAAGTTGTAGCCGATGATGACGTCGTCGAAGCAACGCTTGTGGAAACACTGGTAGTGGTGGCTGAAGGGGGCTTAATAAGAGACGTGGAAACCTCAACGGGAGCCGCCGCAGAAGATGAAACACTTGAGGAAGCAGAGGATGAGCTTTGAGACGTTGTCACTGCAGTCGAAGACGTTGATGCTGCCGGAGCTGTAGTAGCTACTGGAGGGAGCGTGCTGAAAATCGGCGAAGGCGGCAGGTTTGAGGTTGCGATACTCGTGGAAGCCGGAGGCGGAGGAGGCGGCGGAGGCACAGTTGAAGTTGCCGGAGGCGGAGGCGGGGGTGCCGTAGAGTTTACCGCCGGAGGAGGAGGTGGCGGCGGCGGAGGAGCAGCGCTGGCAGGAGGAGCAGGAGGAGCACTGACAGCCGGAGGCGGCGGCGGAGCAGAAGACACCGGTGGTGGTACTGCTGGAGGAACACTGATAGCCGGAGGAGGTGGTGGAACAGAAGAGGCCGGAGGCGGTACTGCCGGAGGAGCACTCACGGCCGGAGGAGCGCTGACAGCAGGCGGGGGAGGAGGTTGCGATGCCGCCGGCGGAGGAGCTATTTCAAAGGTTAGATTCAGGGGCCTCAAGTCATCGCCGTTGCCCAAGCATTCAAGCTACTGACCTATTGAAAACGTCGTCTTCGGTAACAGGGATGATGGGATTGGAATCGTGGAGACACCAACTCCGTTCCCATTAGGATTAACCGTCGGGGCGGCTGCTGGAGGAGCCGAGGGCGGAACTGGTCCAACTGTTGCGACTGGGTTTCCAACCACTTGAGTAGCTCCAGGAATGACAGTGGTAGTAATGGTAGTGATTACAACTGAGTTATCTCCGCTTCCCAAACCTGGCAGGCCGAGAAGTTGTCCCAGCTGATCCAATAAGTCGTCCCGGCGAACCAGGTTGCCATTGCTATCACGATTCAACGCAGCACCCTAAACGTCATCAGCTACTGAACTTTTCGAGGCCCCCCTTTCTGACCATAAGAACATACCTGAACTGCAGTCGAGGCAAGCAGGGCGTAAAGGACTGTAGACCTCATTGTGAAAATTTTCTACGGAGCCGAGATAACACGGATGCACGCGTAGTTTTTTTCCTTTTCTTTTTCTAAGATTTTCTGAACAAAAGATACCGAAAGGAACCACAAACAACGACAATCGCAAATGCTGCTGTTTCCACAATTCCAAGCTGCAAAAAGGGTTCGGCGATGAAGAATTAAGATATTATGTATCAGCCAGCTGGATATCGAAATAAATCAATGGCCGATGCCGTATTAATCGCAGTCGAAGCGGGAGAAGCAAAAATTAAAGAGCGAACGGCAACGATTGAATAAAGGCGGCGCCAGGCCTGTAAAATCCCAAGAGGGTGAAGATAAGATGGCCACCGACCAAATGGACGATGGTTCAAAAACAAGAGAAGAGAAATGAAGATGAGAACAACGCACGAGAAAACCGGTCCTGTGAAAAGAAGAAGAGCAAAAGGGAAGAAAGAGCCTGTCAGAGAGTAGCCCCAGCCGTCGTCAGCTCCAGCTCTCCCAGGAACGACGTGGCTCTCTTCGATCCTTGGGCCGTTTCGATCCTTCATCACATTGTTTGAAGCATTGCCAAGACCGCATTTGACTAGATTCGAATACGGAGCTCAAACAATAGCGGTGCGGCGGTTGTGATTTAGACTCAATTCGCGTTGCTCCATACGGTCCAGGCCAGGATCTGAGACATGGTTCAGACACCTCCTGTCTGGGACGGGGCTTGCGATAGCGGGGCTTGACAAGGAGATTATAGCAAGCCGCTCGTTTAACTTGGTACCGGGCATTTTCCGACTTTTTCAATGGTCGAGCTCGACATGGTTGCATTTTACGGCTTGTGGGATCTGGTGATTTTAATTTCGAGTAGATTGCATTTCAAGGGTGAGTGACCTTGTCCATCATGCGATGCGGGAGCCGAGAGAGCAAAGACGCGCCAAAGGGATGTGGGGTTGTCGGTATTTGCCAGCAACGGCGCCTAAAGTTATCAGATCTGATTTCACGATGGTTGCTTGTCACTTCACATCACTGAAAAGCAAGATGTGATTGGAGTCGGTGGGTGAATTAAGCGATGTTTATCGAGGCGTGGTTGTTGGACTTGAACGGGCGCTTGCACGTTTTGTTGCTTGGTTGGCCACTGTCGAATGAGGACGGCGCTATGATGCATGACGAGGCAATCTAAAACAAAATTGTCACATGGCGTCGACAACGGGGGATGGTGAAGAAGAATGAGTTGAAGATTGGAATCGTGATGAAGAGTCCGATTAGAAAACGCTGCATGCCGGAAAGGAATTTATCCAGGGCCGATTTTTCTCTTCTTCCAGTTTGGAAATGTTACGTCAAGAGCTGGGCACTCCGCACCTTCCAAGAATTGACGGGGCATGTTTTTTGGAGTACCACTTGGAGTACCGCCAAAAAGAGACATGTACCAATTGCTGCTGCTTTCGTAATTGTAGCACATGCAGCGCTAGAGACAAGCCACCAGCTTCCAATTAACTTCTCTCGATGCCGAGAAGACGGTCCATTTCGCGCCCATCGAGAAACAGCCAAGCCAATGACGACTTGATTTTTGCTGCAGGTGTCCAAGCTGCCTATATAGCAAGCATAATGTTTCCCTGCCGCGCGAGATTCTAGTGATTTGGTTCATATTAGCGATTTTTTACCGCTTTCTTGCAATAAACACGATTTATGGAACTTGGATGAAATGGCCGCTCATGTGCTAGACGACTACTATCTCGGTATAACTGCCATCGTCACCGTGGGCTACCAACTCTTCTTCTTCGCCATTGCTTATGCCTGTAAATTCGATAAGTTGACTGGTAAGCTGTTTTCTCTAGGAAATGTTATCCAGCACTCCAGTTTGGTATTGATGGGCTGCCACCTCTGCCACCTCTGCTACTACTACTACCTATGGCAGTTGTATATTTTGATGTGTGGGCTGGCTGCCTCATTAAGCTACAGCTGAGGCATTGAATATGAAACTGGAATGCTGGATAACTTTTTCCCTCTCTCTCTCCCTCATACAATATCAATGTCCTTTTGATCGCCAACACACTTCTGCACAGACTTCGCCGGAGGCTCCAACTTCATTGTTCTCGCTGTCGTCACCGTCTCACTCAGTCACCCCCATAATGGCCGCCAACTTGTAGTCACGCTCTTTCTCATCGCCTGGGCCGTCCGCCTCACGTCTTTCCTCTTCTTCCGCATCCTGAAAACAGGCAAAGATGACCGCTTTGATGAAATGCGTCAAAAGTTCTTCCCCTTCCTTGGTTTCTGGATCCTGCAGATGCTTTGGGTCTGGACGGTCTCCCTGCCAGTGACTGTGCTGAATTCACCGGCTGTGACTCGTTATCCGCAGCACAGTTTTGGAACTGGGAGAGATATTGCTGGTATTGTGTTGTATTCTATTGGACTGGCGATCGAAGCCATTAGCGATGCACAAAAGTACCGATTCCGGAGCAAGCACGATGGCCAAGCTGTTTGTGATCAAGGCCTATTTGCTGTATCGAGGCACCCCAACTACTTTGGAGAAATCATTGTTCATTTTGGTACGATGGTGTTTTGTCTTCTAATGAGTGGAAAAGGCGACAGCTGACTTCATCCAGCCATATACATGATCGCCGTCTCACCGGCTGCTAATGGCTTCGTTCGCGGCCAAGCCTTCAAAGCTCTCTATGCCACTATTCTAGGCCCATTCTTTCTCACTTTTCTACTACTCTTTGTATCGGGAATATCCCTTGCAGAGCGACCCAAGGCGAAGGCTCGCTATGAAAAAGACAATAATTGGTCAGGCTATAAGCGGTGGCTAGACCGAACCAGCGTCCTCATTCCGTTTCCTCCGCAGTTGTACGAGAAGATGCCGACGATTCTAAAGAGAACCGTATTTCTCGAGTTCCCCATGTACGTATTCGATCCGAAGAAGCACTCCAGCGCGCCTCAGCCTGGGAGAAGAGTGAACGAGGGCGAAGGTGAACCGGCAGAAAGCAATCGAGATGATAGTCCACAGAGCGGCGATGAGCACTTAATAGAGTAGTAATCTACTACGTAAATAAAATGAAATCCACTCTTGGTATATATATGTATATGCTTGTTCTATTCGCCCGCACCACAGTTTCCAGCACCCGTGCAATCGACATTATCTTGATCTCATATGAAAGGCTTTCTCATCTCTTAGACTGCGCAATAGGAAGATAAGAAAGAAAATTATAGACAAAAGGAAGTAAGCAAGTGAATAGTATGACGAGAGCTAATCTAGCAGCTCTTGGGTCTGGCCAAATTCGGCGCTGCTCGATCGCTCCGAGTATGCCTCTGATCCCTCTGGAATAGGCACCATGGCACTTTTAGTCCAGATGTGGATGGCCTTGGACCAATCTAGACCCTCAATGCAGCCGCCTTTGACAGAGAGGACATTTTGTGACTTGATACGGAAAGGACACGAGAATGGAAGTTAGTTATTTGAGTTCCGCGACGCAATAGTGGCCAGGCAAAGGAAAATGAAGAGGAATCAGTGCTTGCGTGGGCCAACAAGACATACCTGTGCCAAGTGAATGAGTCGCGTTCCGCAAACACGGCAGAAATAGCTATATAAATGACTGATTATCAGCTGATGGTTTCGCAAACTCGTTTGTATATAATGTCGATTTCATACCAGTAAAGCGTCTCCCCTGAAGCTGTCGGCCGTCTAAAATTGAACCCCCGTTAGCACCAGGACTTTACTCACGCCCAGTCCATCTTTCACATCTCAACCATACAAATAAATCATCTGCTCTTTCTGATTCAAGGAAGTAGAATCAATTGACATACGCATAGCAGTTCAAGTTCTCCGTCTCGGGGAGCTTGAATCGCGGGAAAATGGCCGACGTCCCAAACGCCGAACCCGTCTGTTTCTTGCACTCGGAGCAATGGCATATATACAGCGCGAGAGGCTCTGGCAGCGGCGTCTTGAACGAGACGGCGCCGCATTGACACCGTGCGTTCATGGCGAAATTCTTTTGTTGGCAAATGCAATGTTTTCTTCTTCTTCTTCTTTTCGCTTTGGATTGCTGTTGTGATGGAAGATTGAGTCGTTGAAGCAGGTTATAATTGCATCGAGTCTTTATATGTCAAACCTGGCAAGGTCGGAGCTAGACTATAACTGAAAGCCGATGTCCCGGGAATAGAGATTAAATGACAACCGGAATGTTTCAACAATTTCTATTCGATTGAAATTGTCTTCTTGGCTCGCTTCAAGGCCTGTTGTCAGAAGATGTAAAGGTTAAAAGTTGATTGAAAGTCAAGCGACGTCGGACCTAAAGCAACTTGCATGTGCCCAGCATTAGGCTACTAGTATGTAAATCATCGGATGTGGTAAGCAAGGCCTCTTCTCTTCTGACGTTAGTCGGCAGCAGCCGATGGCTACAAGGCCGATTTGGCTGTTGCTATAAACTAGGGCCCCAAAAACTCCGAAATAAGAGTCACTTCAAGCTGGTTGAATCGTCGAATCGCGTGCCGAAACAAGCTTAATTCGCCAGGGAGCAACGCCGGTCTTCGCATCCACCGTCTCGTCTTCAGCTCTTTGGTGCGTCACTCACGGGATGCTAAGCTCCGTTCGTTGACTCCATCGCCTTTTGCTTCCAGATCTGGAATGCGAGCTATGCGAATTAGCCTTGCCGCGTTGTTAGCAGGGCCCGCAGCCACGCCTTCGGCCAGCTATCTCGGGAGACATATACCGTGGGCTCAACGCCAACAAGAGACCCTATTTTTATTTCTTTTTTCACTTAGCTAGCTTCAAGTACTCTCTATCGGTTTTGCACGTCATATAGCTATTTTTCTTTTACGTCGTGACTCATACCGTGCACGCCTCAGTTACATAAGAACCACGCCCTTCGAAGAACATGTAGGTATAAGTGGGGTATGGACAACTAACATCGGTATCATGTAATAGGTATGCCACATACATAAGACGCATGCCGTACTGCTTTTCAGCGTCTGAGATTTTACTATCTGCCGTCGACGATTAATAATTCATATTATTCAGCCACCTCTCTTCCCAGACAACCTCTATATCCTTCATAGCGGTTACTTACGGCAAGCCATGGTATAAGAGGGGGGAAATAGCCCATGAATAACCTCCATGCAATTCGCCGCAACTAGAACCTGCAGCACTTGGAACATCCTCCGATAATCGGTCCGTTTCTCCTTTCCGTGCCTCATGCGTACGCGATAGTTACGGACCGCATAATCACGGGTGAAGCAAGCACAGACTCGGACTCTGTAACAAAAGAAAGCAACCTGTGCAGTAACGTAAAAGGGAAGTGAGAATCAGACGCAAATGAAATAAAGTACAGCTGTGTATGAGATATATAGAGCATGTTATTCGCAACGCCGTGACGTAACATGCTGTGTTAGGCACAGGCATATCTTAACCCCCGTGGAATAGTTTATGAAAGAAACTAAGAAATTAAGAAGAGAAAAAAGAAAAAGCGAATAATAGGAGTATTTAAAAAAAGATAGGAGCTGGGAAAAAGAAAGAGGACTAACAAGGCAAGTATTACTATTAAATGGTTTAATGTTACATATGATTACGGCGAAACTTGCTCAAAGTTGAAGAAATAATCCATGTTCGGAGTAAACACTCACTATCTGCGATTGATGCCAAGGCGGGGAGTGCGGGAGAACCGTCTCTAGTACTACGGAGCGCATGGCTCAGCCGAGTAAGTGGTGTGCCCGCCATCTTATATCGCTACATGTAGTGTTCACAGCATGTCAGTGCCTACAATATAATGCGGGATAGCGAAGTTGTACTTTATATAACGTGTTTAAGAAAAGAATACCATTCTTTTATTCAGTATTTTCCTACCCACGTAATCCAAGTTATTACGGTAGATAACTTTTTATATTCTATTGTGGTATCCATGGCAGAGAATTACTAAGCTACACTACTTAAAGAAAACATAATAGACTTTTTAATAACTGTATTATAAGAACTAATAATAGATAAAGAAAGAAGGGTGGGAGAAAGAGGGAAAATGAATAAATTATTCACTTGTGGCACTTCCTTCAAACCAGGCATCCTCATACAGCCCTTCTCGCCGACCAAGACAAAGCTGTACTAGCACAACAAATCTTCTCTGGCAGCGAATCAGTTACACTACAAATGTATCACGCCAAACAACTGGTCGCAGACAAAGCAACCATTTGCCAGTGGCCTACACTATAGCTGGAGTGCTAGATGATGAGAACTATAGCGTTAGATAGCTTTTCCTCAACAGAAGTCTCGATGAATTCTTTAGGGCGCAATTTGAGGCGGAGGCTATGCCGTAAAGCAGTCGCCAAAATGACTGTCACTCGCAGGGTCACCCTGCATTCACGTCTTGATCAGAATTTGGTAACTTGAACAGGTATCGAGGTATGTTGAGATCAGCTTGGTGACTCTTTTTTATACAGTCCCAGTTGTGGCTTGTCTTCTGGCTCTCTCTCTCTCTCTCTTTCTTTTCCCTTCTTTTTAACACCTTTCTGCCGAATATCTCCGTCCGACGATACGCATCTGCAGAAATGCCTGCTTGTGCAATAGAATCACGCATTGCGCCTCCCAACTTGACGATTGCAGACATCACCGTACCAAAGAATGAGTTCACATTTGGTTCTTTTGGCCCAAACTCCTCGAGTTACCAAGATGCGTTGGCCTGCCTTCGGATGTATCGCAAGCAGGTAACGCAACTCAACTACAGTCAACGGCGTGAGATTATAGATATTATCACAAAGGGTCACTTTTTCAGAACGAAAACCGCGATGAAATCGCCATTTGGCCATAAATTCTACCGTTACGCCCGCCAAAGCGATTTTGCTGCAGAGCGCCTGTCATGGCCTGAATATATCATCATGCGCGCTCTTTATAAAGATGACTTACCACCTCTATATATTAGCCATGTCAAGCAAACATTCGGAACGGCGGCCATCGAAGATTTCTCTTACCAATTTTTCGAATACTTTCCGCAAATGAATGACAATACTGCCAAGGCTATCATTCCAACACCGAAAGTCAGTATTCGCTCAGGACGAATTTTAATTAGTAGTCGCAAGGCGAGTGCTGAAGACAACCTCTGGCCCGCTCCAAAACGCAAAAAACCACGTTCAATACATAAGAACCCGGATACTCCGACCACTGTTCAGACGACACTAAAGGCTCATACCGTGGGTCGAGCGGCGAATGATGCAGGAAATGAGGCTTTAATCTCAGCGAAAGAAGCAACCAAGCAGCCAAAGTCTACCTCTGCTGTGCCTAACGCTTCTGCACTTGAAGTAACACCGGCTATCGATCTGGATGCACGCGATATACTAGATCGATTGCCCTCCAAGACATTCGAGGGTTCCAAAGGATCGATAAGGCTTCCTGGGACCGTCTGCAGTACCTCTTGAGCATCATAAGAGAGACGACAATACTAAACAATATCTGTCTCAAAGCCCTTGAAGAGAGCCATAGGGGCCTTGAAACTAAGCTCGGTGCGATGACCACCGCCTTTGACACAATGAATACCACCATCGAGACCATCGTCACAGAGGCCAGAGCTGACCGAGAGGGGTACAATCATGTTTTGAGCAGTATAAAGGATGTTATGATGGGAATGGCGGATTCCATCAAAGACATCAAGGAACAGCTGTAGATGGGATTGGCGCCCTGTCACAAATTTCGGAGGAAGCATATTGACTGCCGCTGATTCGACATCATTCTACTACAAGTGGACTGCATTTGCTCAATCCAGTATTGTGTCTAGCTACATGCTCGTGCAGCAAATTGTTGGCACGTTTTGCAAACTATTCATGCCCTAGGTAACTGCAATATAAAGAACCTACTCAACTTCACTTCATCCCATGTAAGCATGGCGATGTGCCGTAACAGATATTCATGATAGTATTGTAAAAGCAATAAACACCAATAAGTCATTATGAAAGCCAGCCAAATATAGAAAACCGACACACGTCATCCAGTCATACCCACCCGACTCACACAATCCTCGCCATACTCACAACCTCCGCCCTTGACCCAAACTCCCGCAACGCCTCCTCGGCCTTTGCACACCACGCCATCTTCTCCTCCGTCCCCCACGCATTCTTGATAATCTCAATCTCCAGCCTCTCCAGATTCTTCATCTCGGCCAATTTCCCCTCCTCAACCCACCGCCTCGCACCGCCCTCCTCCTCCAGCCCGTCGATAAACTTATCCTCGGCCTCCTGCGCAGTCTCGGTGTGCTTCCGCCCAACCTGTCCCACAATCTTCAATCTCAGGCCTCGAAGGCCATGAGACCACGACGCCAGACGCTCGTCAGGGCCACCGCATAAATCCGCCCACTTCTTCAGCGCGCCTGTCCTCGCGAGATCCTCGGCCATGACTTCCATCCGCACGTATCGCATCGACAGACGCTGCCACGGCCGCTGCGACCTCGTCACTGCTGAAGCAGCATTCAGGCCCGACGAGAACCAGTTGAGGAAGACAAACTCGTTGTTCTCAAAGGGCATGGTTCGTGCCTCAAAGTATATCTGGCGACAGGAGCACAGTAGACCCGTCGGCATGCCCGCGAGAGGCCTGTCCGAGCTGAGCAGGCCCTTGATCCGCTTGTTCAGCTCCCTCATCTTGTCCTTGATCCTCTCCTTTGTCAACCTCTCCGCGGCAATCGCCCTCTGCAACTCATTCTGCTCCCGCACGGCCGGCGTCTGCTCCTCCTCTTCTTCTTCACGAGCGCCAGTGTCGTCTGCGTCGTCTTTGCCCGTTGCGAGATCCACAATCACCCTCTCGTTCTCAATCTCCTGCTCAACCTGCCTCTCGAGATTGGGATCCAGCGGGTGCAGGATGTAGCGGCACAGCATGGGGATGGGATAGCCCGCCGCCAGCTCCTTGGGCTGAATGGGACTCATCAAGTAGGCCCAGTAGTAGATTCTCAGCCTGACTTCTGGCGGCAGGGAGAGCAGCGGCGAGGCTATTGGCTCTGCTGAAGCCATTGGCGCTGTTAGAGTCTTGCCGTCACTGCCACTGCCGGCGACATTGTCCGCAATGTCTTTGGCTGCTGCTGAAGCGTCACCATTAGTGCCGTCCTCGTCCTTGGGCCCCCAATGCTTGTAGTAGCACACCGCAGGCGGGTACCAAAACATGAATGGGCAGTATTCATACTCGGCGCCTGCCATGGCTAGGTGTAATGCATGAGTATCTCGAATGTCTAAATCCATTTTGGCTTGCAAAAAATGAGGAATGAAATGAATTCAGTCAAGAGTGAGAAAATTGAAATAGATGTATAAGAGTAAGAGTGAGAGGCAAATCACACAACACGGGGAGAAGTTGGCATCAAGACAAAACTCTCACCTTGATGCCTTATGAGAAGGGAGAGACACTTTATAACCGTAAAGAAAAACCCCCTACTTCTTCCACATCACATGTATTCTTGTCTCAAAGGCAATCTAAACGAAAGGGGGGGGAAGCAACATACCAAAGTGGGTATAACAGCACGGAATCACTGTGAGCACTAGAATTCGTGTCAGATACGCCGTCTTATACGCCGTCTTCCATCACAACAAGCTCCCCTCCCCACCAACTCGACATGGCTGTGGCGGCTTACTAGAGGGCCTATTTTGTGACGATAGCAGTTAGAAAGTCTATATATTGTGCATAACATGCCACCCAAGCGTCGGAAAGAATCATTCAGATGAGACGAGATTGAAATGGGGGGATGCAAAGAGGAGAAGCAATCAGCCTTCTCCAACACATGTTGGAATGGAGGCCCAAAAGGTTCGGTTCGGGTATCGATCCAATTGTTCGATTGCGATGCGGGGAAACGTCACCATTACATACTAAGAGGCTTTGCCGAGCCCAGTCATCGCGTTTCTCACATGCCCAGACGCGACTCAGACAGAGCTGCTTCCGATGCCAATGGGATTCGATCCAGACAGCCTGATAGCTGACAGCTTTCATATTCCCTTACATAAGTGCCCAAAACAAGGCCCAATATGTCAGAGCCCCAGCGAATGATTTGCGCTGCTCCGATTCCTTCGAATCGCAGCGCGCGCAAGTCCAAGACTAATGTGTGGTCATAAACTAGATTAAAAGTAGTATATGCATCAGCCTTCCTTCGGTGTGTTTATCGCTGTATCGCTGCCATCCAATTGGGCCAAGTTGCAGCTCCATTGGGCAACCTCACCGCTGGGCTGAGGTTGCAATGATGCTCTATTTAGATTGGCATTGGTACCTACCCACCTATGGAGGCTGTAGGCTGGAGATAGCTAACCGCTTCAGGTAATGAAGACAACCTATATATTACAGCTTGACATTTGATCCCGGTATAAAAAAAAATGACTCGGTACTATCCAGCACCTGATGCTGCATAATGTGCAGCTGCTATGATATACAGCTTACGAGGGTGGCCTATCAAGCTTCAAGTTGTCCTACTGACTGCCAAGACAAGGCATTGCTCACAGCCGCCGAATCACATCATGCACGACATTACTCCCAAAATAAAAAAAACCAAAATGCGTCTTCATAGCGAGCCTCTCCGATTCGTGCTTCCAAGCCTTGCAGTATCACATGCATAAACGAGCAACTCCATCACAGTAAGGCATCCTTGCAGCCCATAGCCGACAGGCCGTCGTTTTGATCCGATTCATCGTCGTTGGTTCATTTCCATCGGCTCATCCGTTGGTTCTCAACTTGGAAGGGGGTATTTACAGCAGCATCCACATCTCTGTCTTTGTATCGAACAAATTAGACCAATCACCCTCATCCTAGGAAGACCCAGAGCCCGGTGGTATATTCACTCCCTCATATCCCCTCTTCCCCCCAACTTTCCGCTCATATTCGACGTTCCGCGGCACATCGAAATCTCCCCGAGACGCAAACCACAAGAGCGCCTCTGGTTCTGGGCCTCTCGCCACCGCGGCTGATTTCGTGACCCCATCCATGGCATCTTCGTTTTCGTCGTCTTCGTCCTCCTCCTCTTCGTCCTCTTCCTCGTCGCTTTCCTCATCCAGGCCCTTCTTTAGTCCCGTACGGACATTTTCGATGCCCATCTCCCTCTCTTCCTTTGTGTAGACGTCTCCAGCCTCATCCCTCACGTAACTGGCAATCCTGTCGTGTGTCCACTCGCGCAACTCGTCCCATATGCCCTGTAGCTCTGCAATGCCCTCGGGGGTAGCCAGGCGTGCTGTTTCTCGGCCTTGCTCGACAAGCTCCTCCACGTCGGGCTCCAGCTTCTTACGCAGCAGCTGCGTCAAGACATTCTCTTGCGTCCGTCCGGGGTAATTTGTCGACGGATGCACGGCAATTCGTGAAAAGAGCTCCGAGTTCTCGCTGAGGTTGTCTAATACCGTTTGGAGATTGCGCTGGAGGATCTGGGCGGAGGCTTGTAATGAAGAGCTACACGTAAATCTGCCGTTAGAGAGGTGCGCTGAGTATGCTCAAGAGTCTTGTTGTAGCGAGGCGTACGGGTGTGGAAGCGGATTGCTTTTAAGAATGTCCATTTTCAGACTCTGTATGCTGCTCGAGAGCTGCGCCAGCCGAGCCAGCGTCTGCTCAACCGCCTTGAGCTCATCATCGTCCAGCCCCAGCGTCGCCATCTTTGCGCCCGCCGCTGTCGCTGATCCTTTTCTTCCGCTCTTCTTTCGCTTTTCTGTTCCGTATTCGATGTTGAGATTGAAGAATGTAGAAAGTGAAAGGATCGAAAAGCTTGCAAGAATAGTAAGAGCTCTAGTGGGAGGAGAATGGGGGATCGGAGGAGCAAGTTGAAAGAGTATGAAGTTTAAATTAACATTAGAGGTGACGTCGGAGCTCGATTTTGCGCAATCGCAGACGCGGTCGCTTCAGTGGAGCAGGCGCTAAGAGACCCCTAAAGTTGCATTCGACTACAGCACCAGGAGTGGGGTCAACATTCAAGAGGGTGGCATCATATAAATGAAGACTGCTTTTTGCTCTAATGCCATGTCATTCGTTTATTTCATTCCATTTTATGCTCAAATTGTTGTTATATATAAAGATGACACGCCCATCAAACTAGAAGATACTCCCTCGCTATGCCCCGCCAAAAACATACCATTGCCCATAACCAAATCAATCAAGTCAAATCACATCAGATCCAGTCTAATTCCATTTCCTCATGCCACGCAACAGCAAATACCAAACAAAAAGAAAGGTCATGAAAGGTCAAAAGAGGAACAAAAAGAGTTGGTGGCTTTAGCCTCGAGTCGAGTTGACCGTTGCCGAAATCTCATAGCCCTGCGAGTCCACAAAGGGGTATCTCGCGCGTCTCTCCAAATCATCCAGCGCCATGTGAGATCGAATATACCTAAGAATAAGAAAGTTAGCAAAGCGTCTTTCACAAACGGTCATCTCTCCAAAGCAGGAACTCACTTCTCTCGCCCATCATCATTCGGGTTGTGATCCCAGCTCGTAAAAGTGCCAATCTTCAACGCATCCCACACCAGCCGTCTGCTTCGCTGAGACGTCAGCACCTTCTCCGTAATGGCATCAAAGTCCCATTTCGCCTTGGCCTCGGCATCGAAGCTCAGGAACACTGCTCTGGCCTCCTTCTCGTCCTCCGTCTGCGGCTCAATCTTGGACGCGAACCGGGCCAGGTTGTCCAACTCCAGGGGGTCCTTCTCGAGGTTGAACAGCTGAGGCTCGTCTGCTGGGCAGGTGATGTACTTCCAGGCCCCTCGTCGAATCATCATCATGGGGCGAACAGTCCCCTCGCCCGTGTACTCGGCGAAAACGGTATCACCACCCTCTTGACCCAAGAGATGCGGCATCATGCTGACGCCGTCCATGGGCAGGTATGGCGCGGGCTTGGTGCCGATGATGTCGCAAATGGTGGGCAGCAGATCCAGCGTCGAGACGTTCTGGGTAACACGGTGAGGGGTAAACCACTTGGGGTAGTGCACCAACATGGGGACACGGACAGAGGACTCAAAGTAGCTCATCTTGTACCAAAGACCGCGCTCGCCCAGCATGTCGCCGTGGTCACCGCTGAAGATGACGATTGTGTTGTCCATCAACCCAGCCTCCTCAAGCGTCTCGAGCAGCTTGCCAATGCAGTCATCAACGTAGCTTACTGAGCCGTAGTACGCCCTCTTTGCCCTCTTGATCTGCTCGTCGGTGAAATCCAGGTCCCACAAGTCACAGACTCGCAGCAGACGCTGGCTGTGAGTGTCGAGCTTCTCCTTGGAAATGCGCACCTTGGGCAGGGCAATGTCCACGTCCTCGTACCGGTTCCAGTACTTCTTGGTGATGGTATACGGGTCATGGGGATGAGTGAGAGACACGGTCAAGGCAAAGGGACGCTTGTCTGCCCCCTCGCGGACGTGGTCCCAGAGATACTGAGTGCTTCGGTACATGACCTCCTCGTCATAGTCCAGCTGGTTGCTGCGTCCACACGGCCCGGCCTGGAGGATGGAGCTGGCGTTGTGGTACCACTCGAGACGCGTATCCGGCTCATCCCAGTTCACCACCCAGCCAAAGTCTCCGGGGTAGATGTCGCTGGTGAGCCGCTGCTCATAGCCGTGAAGCTGGTCGCCCACAAAGTGCATCTTGCCGGCCAGGGCGGTGTGGTAGCCCTTGGAGCGCAGATAGTGAGCGTACGTGGGCACCTCCGAGTTGATCTGAGAAGCATTGTCGTACGCGCCGATTCTCATGGGCAACAGGCCAGAGATCATGCTCATTCTCGAGGGCGCGCAGAGCGGCGAAGGGCAATAGGCCGAGTCGAACTGGACGGCAGAAGCCGCCAGACGGTCCAGGTTGGGCGTCTTGATCTGAGAGTCTGGGTTGTACATTTTGAGCTGAGGAGCCGCCAGCTGGTCCGCCATGATGTACAAGATGTTTGGCTTTTGCTGCTCAGAGCTGGGGGCGGGAGGAGGCGCTTCAGAGCGCGGGAGGGTGTTGAGATCGGGAGCCATGGCGGGCAAAGAGACGCGTCAAGCGTAGATTGAAAGCCGCCGAGTTGTATGTTGTTTTCAAAAGCCTTGAATGATCAAGTTTAAAACGTGCTTTTTTGTCTTGTCCAAAGGGCCTCAAGAGAGACGAGACGGTGAGAGGTCACGAGAGGTGCGTGAGAGAACGAGAAGAGGAAGACAACAGATGAGACAAGATCGTGGGCGTCTCTACAAGGACAATTATCAAAGACGGTTCAATAAAACGAAATCAATCATACAGTGTAGCAGTAACTACTCATTCATTCAGTTTAGTAAAAGAGAGAAAAGGGAGGGTGGCTGTTCCAGCAGCAAAGCGTGTGCGTCTACTTCCAGCCCATTATATAGGCAGTTTCTACGTGACACCGACATCCTTCCAACCCCCCAACCACTTTCCAACTATCTATCTATGTGGAGAACACAATAAGGGCGTCCGACTTCCGAGTTGCACCAAAATGGCATCATTGCGATGGGCACGCGAGCACGCAAGAGCTTGGATTAAGGAAACAGGAATATGCGATAAACAAGGTGGGATGAGAACTGAGACTCTGTGGCAACGGAAACTAAAACGCTTGGACTGACACGAGCTGCACTTTGCGGTTGTTGCAAAAAAAAAACGCCCGCGAGATCCGTTCCACACACTGTATGCATCCTCACTTTGGTGCATAAATTTTGGTAGGATCTAGAAAAAAGAACCAGCAGAAAAAGAGAAAACACCCGCCCGACCCGTAGCTTCTAACATGTTGCGTGTTCTTCTCGTGTTAGCCACTTTAGCATGTGTCAGACATTTCCAAACCATGAAGAGTAATATCGGCTAAGGAAAACATTAGACTTCCAGTTTTCTCTTTCATGCCGTTTAGTGTGGTGGCAGCGCATCTGACGCAAGAAGCTCGAGACATGACAAAAGAAACATTCCCCGTGTAAACTGCAACCTCGACTCAGGTCATGCTTTGCTACCAGAATCCTTCAATTCCACTTCTCTCGTCTGTACCTCTTTTTCGTGTCAATTTTTTGTGCGGCTTCCAACAATAAGCGACGACCCGATACTAGATCCAGAGCCCATGCAACCCGCCCAACGCTTATTCCAACGCATCTCCTGGTCACATGGACAGTGATAACGCCCAAAAAGGGGACTCCTGCGCTATCGCTCCCAACTACTGCTAGATAGCCAATACTAGCAGCAAATCTCTCTAAACCCCTGCGCAAGCTCCAAGTTCAGGCAACAACCAAAAAAAAACCTCCTTCTTTCGTCGGTAGGTTGGGAAAAGAAAAAAGACCCTGATTGGGGATTTTTTCCCCCAAACTACTCGATTCGGCATCGCCCACGCTGTGGTTGGTCAACCCGCCTTTTACTTCCCCACGGGAGAAATCCAGATCCCCTTCTTTTTTTTTCACTTACCAAAAGCCCACTTCGATTGCGTGATCCAGACCACCGTAGGCGTGCGTGCGAGGGAGCACTGTATATGCTTCAACGCGGAGGGACTGTATAGGCTAATGGCTTCAATTGCTGCATGTGGGGAAACATACTTAACGCCAATGACTTCTACGTAGCAAGTAAAGGAGTAGTGAGTGAGTAATAGCCAAAAGTGGCAATGTTCAGAATGCGGCTGACAAACTCTCTTTCCTCCCCTCTTGGCTTCTAGAGAGAGAGAAACAGGACCCTGTGATTCCAGGAGATCGAAATAGAACCCCCCTTCATGCAACGCATATACCTCCGAGCTAGCGTTGTCGATCGCCTGGCACACAAGAGGCGCACGCCCGGTCAGGAGTAGTTCATATGACGAACGCCTACGTATGCTAACAAGGGAGAGCTATGAGGAGATCATGTAGTATATGGTAGAGCCGCGTATAGTTGAGTACAGTCTAGATACAAAACTCACCGCCAACTACAGCTCCAGCACGGCATAGTCGGAGAGCGTCGATCAGTTCTAGCCACTTGAATCATGAAGCCAATCTCGCTAGCAGGCAGATAGTCATCACGTCTTACAGTACGGAGTATAACAACCGCGATAAATCGTCAGCTCTTACGGTGGCAGAAAATGATCTGCAAGACAGCCTAGACCAAGCTTGAGCTAATTTCTACCTGCAAACAGTCAACTCACTTAGACAGAGGGACGCTCGATAAAACAACAATGTGCATTCTGCTAATCATTTTTATATATTCAAACCCAACGAGCTCGCTCCCTCAAGCCCTCCACCATCTCCAAAGGGCCGTGCCATCAGAAAAAAAAGTAAAATACAGAGAAAAAGGTATCCTACAACACAGAATCTACTATATATAAACTGATGACAACGATGACGGTGATTATGGTCATGGTGATTATAACATCTTTGGCGCCCGTCTAGCCCGCCTGCTCGTCACATTCTTCACAATTTGACTTCTACCCTCGTTTCCCTTCCACTCCTCCTCATTCCCCATGTCCCATAAGCTGCGTGTCATGTAGAAGTTTCCTGAATCGTCGTCACCTCAGCAAAACCAATCAAAAAATGCAAATATCCCAACTCCATCAAACACCATACATATTCAATTCGCCGCGCTCCGTATGATTCCTTTTATGCAAAATCACGCCATCCCTGGCTTCAACGGCTTCTCTTGCTCCAACTCGCTCTCATCCTTTTTGGGCGGAGCTACATCACTGCGTCCGGTAGAATTTCCTGTAGATGAGATGCAGCAGTAGGTTCACATTGAGTTTGAGGGCACCCTCAAACAGCGTCATGAATTGGTGCGCCTCAAACTGTGCTTGAAGCATGTCTTCAATCGGCACCTGCGCAATTGCTCCGGGAATCTGAATATGGCTTCGCGTGCCTTCAATTGAAAACACGCCAACCTGGTCGCATGAGATTGTCACGTCGATCTTGTCCCATTCTCGGTCTGCAGTTCCAGTCCACGCAACTAGGACGCCTTTTTCTGACAATGCTCGTGCACTATACTTGTAGCTTCCGAATTTTGGCACGCGGCCACTGCGTTCGAGCTCTCGCTGGTGGTTGTACTGCTTTGTAAAGGGCATAAGGAAACGCTTTCGTCTGTTCAAGTTCATTTGTTAGCTTACTACTTCTTCCAGCAATGCAGCCTACAAAATACGCACCCTTTCTTGTTCTGAAGCGTCTTCATGGCTTGCTCAATATAGTCGTCGTAGCTTTTACGCTGCTGTTCCAGATACTTTGCCTTGTCGTTCAAGTTGCCAAGGGTCAGACGCACGCCATCTAGTTCTCGTTGTCTCTGAACTCGTCTACGGCTCTGGGTTCGGATATCACTAGCAATGGCGTTGAGTACGTCTTGGTACTGATTCTGCTTTGAGATCCTCCCCATCTGCTCCAGATGCATAATGTTCTCCAATGCCGTTCGCTTTAGGTCGTAGTAGGACATGGTGGTGATGTCAGCCATCTTAGCGTCTGAATACGCCCCGCGGGAGGTGCTGTTTTGAGGAAACTCCTCTCGCAGCAGCGCCTCCCACTTGTCCTCATCTTCGGGGTTAATTGGCTTCACGAGAATTTCCAACAAGTTGGCGCCGGTTTGCACTCGAATGATGTACAAAACACATCGCTTCGTTTCCATAAACAAAGCTTTGATATCTGCCTCGGGGTCTTCAAGGTCGTGGACCCTGGGGGTCAGGAACATTTGGATATCCGCTGATCCTGCCGCACTCATCTCATTCTCGTTGCTCTTGGCGCTACCCAGATCTTGCATGATTTCGCGCAGGACATCGTCCCGGGTGGGAGACATGACCAAGAGCTCCGCAGCTACAAGGTTATGAATGGCAAAGACATCCGACATTTTGACGTACAAGGTGGGCTTATTTTTCGCGTACAAGTCGTTGAACTCGTCAATATCAAATGTCCTCTCGGGGTCAGGCACCGCGATGAGATCATTGGCAATCTGATGCAGCCGTTCCATGGATTCACCGATGAAGGCATTCAGGGGCTGCAGGTAGATATTCTCGCCGCCAAATGGCCGACCAAGTGCAATTTGCCCTACCACCTTGGCCACTTCGCCCAGATTCCGCTTCTGCAGAGGGCTGAGCGACTTGTCAATCACGCCAAAGTTTTCAGGCGCAGTGACGGCGGGCTGGAGGTAGAATTTCCACAGCCAGTGAGACACCATTTGTAACAGATTTTCCTGCGGCTCATTGGAAAAGTGCTCGCACAATGCTTGGAACATCTCGCTACAGACAAAACGGAGGCCATAAGGCATCTTATGCACTTGTTCTTCCAAGGCCAGAAACAGCTGATCGCAAATCTCTCGCAAATCTCGCAAGTGGTCGATGAAGAGGCGGCGTGTCTCGGGATCGCGGATGGCAACTTCGCGTGGCACGTCTAGTGGTCGATGGTCTGGTCGTCCCGTTCGAAGCTCCTCGTTATTAATTGCCGATCTGTATATTTGCATCGGGTCACTTTCCAGATCAAGAGCTGGGTCATCGATAATGTTGTCGCGGATCATGGGCCCCAGAAGAGATCGGAGGTATTTGCGATCCCGCGGAGACCGTGTGTAGTTGGCGAGCAGCTTGGTCCAGAAATAATGACCCCGGGAATACTCCACAGCGCTTGATGCGCTCTCAACCTCTTCTCTTATTGCTCGAGCTATCAGCTTCAGCAGGTAGTATTCCTCTCGTCGTTTCTGAGCATAGCCAAAGAGGCTCATCATAAGAAGCTCAATGCGTCTAGTTTCCTTCTCGGCCGTCCCCTGCACGCGGATATGTTTGAACAGTCGGGCGAGATATTGGGGCTGCGTCTGAAGACTGAAGAACAGTTGCTGGTACGAGTCCAGCTTCTTCCTGGAGCTTTTGTTGAGAGCTTTGAGGTCAAACTGATTCGTCGACGCAATGGTAGAGTTGGCCAGCAGGCCCATGGAGTGTCCGCCAAAGGTGTGCTGGTGACGCACGACTTCATCAAGCGTGATCTTGTTTTTGACCAGCAGCGCAATCTTGATATCCAGCTGGTCAATGTACTGTTCCAACATCTCGTTTTGTCGCACAGACTGGACTACAGTCTTTCGCATCCGCTCAAACTCGACTTCTTCGTTGAAGTCAAAATCACTGTCGTTGAGCAGATGCACAAAGTTCTTGACGGCGCTGACCGGTGGGTTTTTGCCCGTGGTAAGGCTCTTGTACGCCTCGCCCTGCACCTTGGCACGCATAAAGCTCTGAATCTTGATGACCTTTTTCATATGCTCTTCATAGTACCGCATCTTCTCCTCAAACCGGGCTCTAATCAGGAAAGCTTTAGCAGCGGCTTGGCAAATGACAATGGAGTCCTCTTCTTCGAGAAGCTCGGTAAGCAGGTCGTCTATTCTTGCGCGCTCCATCATGGCCTTGAGGATAGCTTGAAACTCAGCTGTCTCTGCATCGTGAGATGCCAGCTCATCCAATATATCGGCATGGTATCCCCGGTACAGACAGCCTCGAATGTGCGCTTGAAGTGTTATGATTGCCGATTCGTCCTGTTCGAGGTGCTGCTGAATGGCATGGACTCTATTCCTCTCAAACATGGCTCGTATATGCGCTTGGAGCTCGATAATCTCGGGCTCATTTTTCTTCAAGCCGTCGAGACGAGTCTCAATGTCTCGCCTCACAGCGGCCGCACGCATCGCTGCTTGGAGCTTGCCAACCATGGGTACATGCTCCGCCAGTTCAGCCTTGAGAACCTCTTGCTGATCTCGAGCAGCGCGGCCACGAATCGCACTTTGAAACGACGTCCATACATTACTCAAAGCATGAAGATCTTGCTGTTGCTGTTCAACTTTGGTCCGAACGAATGCTGCCCGAGCGGCTGCTTGCAGCGATGTGAATACGTCGGTAAATGACTCAAGCTCCTGCTGCTGCCTCTCGATCCTTGTTCGTACCAATGTCGCCCTCACGGCAGCTTGGAGGTCAGCAACCCCTAGAGTGTGTTTCTCTAGCTGGCGTGTGTCTTTGCTGATCTGGAGACGCTTCAGCATGCCTCGAGCGAGCGCCTGGAGATTTTGCACTTCCACCGCGGCCTTTTCCGTCTCTTGCTGCTGCATATTCTGAGATTGACGTAGCATGAAGCCCTTGGCCATGGCTTGAATGGCCCTAATGGGAGCATCGCACGTAGCCATGGTAGACTTGAGGCCCTGCATCTCGTGACGCACTTTTTGTGCTCTAAGCATGCTCTGAAAGGCCAGGATGGCAGGCTCTGCGGCTTTCCTATCTTGGTCACTCTTCTTAAGCTTTCTTCGAACAAGGAATCCGCGGACCAGGCTCTGGACGAGGATAGCCGATTGCCTCATTTGTAGTCGGTAGTTGATGACTTCACGAGCGAAGCCACCGCGAATTCTTGCTTGTAGGTCAATCAGCCACTCTTCTTGGTCCCAGAAGCCTTGCATCATCTCGCCAAGGTTCAGCCGGAGCAATGCGCCACGAAGCTGAGCCTGGAAGTCGATTATTACATCTTCATTCTCTGCCAGTTCGCGGTCGATCCTCTCCTCTTCCGTCTCCTCTGGCTCTGGCTCTGGCTCGGGGACTCCAAAATCAGCCCCCATGTTGCCGAAGCTGGGCATGTTAACCCCAAGCATGTCCAACCCCTTCTGCATCGCCTCCAGTTCATGATGTTCAAACTCCAGTTGTCCAATAAGGTTACCGATACGGAAATCAACAATTCCTTTTCGAAAGAGAAGCCAACTCAAGGCGTGAATACAGTAAATAACTTTGGGGATATTCTTCTTTTCGTAGAGATCTATAAGCTCAAAACGAAACAGATCGGGCAGCTCCACCTCGTCCAGGTAACGGAAGAAGATGGCAATATTGTCGGAATGTCGGAATTGTAACTTTGGATTTCTGAATATTCGAAAACGCCTATCGGGGTTCAGAGACTCTACCACTTCTGCCAGGGTAACACCATCCCGCAATGCCTCTTCCAACTCAATAATGGGCGGAAGAGTCTGCTGGATGACATCCTCGATCCACTCTTTGGCTTCACCTATGTGGCAGAGGTACTCGTATGCTGCAAGGAACTGGCGTTGCTTATCCATCCAGTTACGACCTTCCCACCCATAGTTTGTCTTGGAGCCGCGGCCACCAGCAGCCTTGTCGGCGCGCTGTAGCCTGCGCCGTCCGCGGAGACCAACTACTTCCTGCGCAGGCGACGTGATGCTAAAGTCTTCTGCATCCTTGGATTTGGCAAGTTGAGAGAGCGTTCGAAGCTGGCTTGTTGAAGATCGGCCCAGGCGCTCAAGATCCGGCCTGGCTATGTGAGCGCTGTGAGTGGGAACTGGGGGCGAGGTCGGCGACATGATCTCGTCTTCCGGAATAGCAGGCTCAGCCCGAGGCATGTACATTGACTTTGGTCGTGCTGGCAAGGGTCGCGAAGGAGTCGGAGTCTTTGTGGGTGAGGTGAAGCCATCCTGCTGCGACAGCGATAACCGGCCAATGTCAATGCTCTGGCCTCTTTCGCGCGGCTTGGAAAGATGAGGTGGTGTCGCCGGGCCTTTGGTGGGAGAAGCAGCTGGAGCCTGCGGTAGAGGACGAAGCGATTGTCGGATTGAGCCATACGGGTTGTCCTGGCCTTTGGTCGAACTAGAGCCGCTGGCCTCCCCAGTCTCGAAGAATCGTGCCCGTGCTATGACATCGCTCTGGCCGCGCTTATGGCCAGCGTGAGATCCGTAAATGCTACTTGCAGAGGTAGACTGGCTGTTGGCGCTGCTTTCAGAGGAGTACGAGTAGCCAGAGGAGGCTGTCGAGGTTGTCGAGTTGTTGCGATTGATGTTGGAGGAGGGCACGGACAGATCAATGGCGTGAGATTGCCGCCGAGGGCTATTTCGATAGGATGACATGATGCTGCAGTGTTAGTATCGCGCCCAGGCCGGGCTATGGTTGATATAAACGTCTATATGGTATATGCTCCGTTTTGGGTATTGGGGGAAATTCTGCTGAAGCCCTATCAAGTCATGACGACTAGAGGTGTAGAGAAAAGGAATGCGAGCAGCGACCAGCGGCGCGTGGCAAGGAAGCAAGAGAGTCTCTAAGACATGCGCGTGGGAGAGCGCCTAATTATGCCGGACAACAAGTAAGTGCGGGCTGTGCAGTCAACAAAAGGAGCACCCAAAAGCCGCTCAGCAGGTTGTCAAGGGCTGCGAATGCCGTCACAGATGGATGTTTTCTTTTCTTTATTTTTCTGCTGGGCAAGATTTAGTCACCTGCTAGAGCCGGGAGCGCAGGGGATTACCGCAGCGCGGGGTCTGTGTGCATTAGAGCTGCATTGCCGTTGGGCAGAAGAGATGTAAACAAACAGCCGGGACAACCGCCTAGCAACGATGCCATCCAGGCCATGCCATTGGCTGCTGAGAGCGGAATTCTCCACTTATTTGACGATCCAGCGCTGTTCTGAGAGTCGCTGTCTGTCATATTTGCTTGCATGCTTCTGCAGGAAAATCACGATGCAAATCTATCTAAAACTATGGAGCAGGGCCCGTACGCGACGATATGTCACGAGCGAAGCCGAAGCGCTTCGATTGTTTTGATATTGGCATTAAAGGGGTGCAGGAGAAGAATTCGTTAGTGCTCCTGAATTTTGAACAGGGTATTAAATGGTAAGCCGGAACAGCGACGAACACGAAGGATTTCCATGGACCTAAGCAATCATTACGTGCAGTACTACTAGTAGTACAGTACTGTATATCTCGATAGCGAAATAATTTTCCATGGCAGTGTTTTCTGATTCCATGCGGATATTTTGGCGGCGGGTGGAGCGCACATGAATTCAGAACGACGTCATTTAGTCGGTTTCGTAGCAGCTCCAATAGCGCTACGGGGAAAAGCTCAGCAAGACGCCTGTTTGTCGCCCACCGCGCGAATTTAAGCTAAAAAAATATATATATAAACGTAGCTCCAAAATTAGCAACATCTGGTTCGGTAAAAAGATACGGTGTGTTTCATGTGCCATTGGCCAATATAATGCCGACAAGGTGTAGCTCGGCCAGTGCCTGGATCTTCTATGGAGTGTCGATAGGCACGCTAAAAGGGGACTCCTAGCGGCTTTTCTGCGAATACAAGTTTAAGAGAGCTAGGAGAGCCGTATAAGAGAATGGCAAAAGAATAAGATAAGAGAGAACCCAGGGAAAGAAAAGAAAAGAGAAGGAAAGTTGTGGTTTCTCTTAGAGGCAAGAGCACCTAGTATGTATCTTAGTAGCATTCTCAATCCAATATGATTACCCCAGTGCACAAAACCAGTGAACAAAATGCGAATTTTCATGCTACTCCAGGGTAGCAGAAAAGACAGCGCACAAAAGTTGCTGTGGGGCTGTATGAGGTCACTACCGACGCTAACAGCTAGAGCTGGCGACAGCCTCTTCATTCTTTTAAACTTTTGGCGTGGCTGCTGGTACTTCACATCTCCACACTGCCATCGAATTGGAGCCTCCACGTCGCCTTTCCCACGCTTGGAAGCGGTCTTGAAATCTTTGCACCGCTTCGTCAAGTTGCCGATATCATCTCCTTGTGCCTGTCTGCGCCACGCCTGTGCCCATCATGTCGGCGAAACAGCAGAGACCATCCGTTCTGGTACGACTCCTAGCCCCCGATCCAAGGGCCCAATTGATAGGCGAATTGCGATGAACTGACTGTGGACGAACCAGGTCACTGATGCGAGAGAGAGGGCGGATCAGCGACGGTCACCGAGACGCCCTGGCACGTCGTCTGGAACCCCTGGACGGACGCCGATGCGGTTCATGACGGTTGACAACATCCTACAGCACGACACGCAGATCCCATCGGGACAGCCTCGAGGGCCGCCCATGCCAGCACAGAGGCCGCATACATCCGGCGGGATCGCCCCCAATGTTCGACGCATATCAACTGGTGGCCTGCCCAGCGTCCCGTCCCGGACTGGCAAACCAATCCCCTCGCGGACGACCAAGATTAGTGAAAAGCTGGTCCTGTTACCTGTCACCGACGAAGGGAATGAAGAGGATGAGGAATTGGAAGGAGAGGCAGCGGCCAACCTGAGATTACAGGACGAGGCTGGACGGCCACTCAGAGACGAGGAGCTAGATGTGCTTCGCAAAAGGGGAGGCATTCGCGGGAAGAGCTATGCAGAACGGCTGCCCAAGCTGCAGAGGACAGACAAAGTCAGCCGGCTGACGGCATACTGCACTGCACAAGCATTCAAAACAAAGGAGACGGCAGAGTTTTTGAAGAAGAAGCACGAGGCTAAGACCAAACTCTACGACGACTGCCTCTACGCCATCTATGCTCTTCCGCTGATGAACGGGATCGAAGGTTACAGAGTACGGAGCCGGCCAATACTAAAGACCCCTGGAACGGGGAAAACAGTCCTTGATCTGGAAATTGAGCGTAGTGAACAACGGGATCACCATGAAGGCTACTTTGATCACGACGCCTATACGTCCGCCACCGAAGGTTCCGGCGATGGCCAGGGAAGACCGTCTGCCTTTTCTGACCACCCTTTATCGCCCGATGATGGCCTTTTGTCACCGCAGAGCTCATATCCTCCTGTAGACGATGGTCTTCCCTCCCATATGAATCGCCTTGCACCGGAGGCAAAGAACTTTGCAGAGATGTTCGTTTACTCTTACGGAGTCGTTGTGTTCTGGAATTTTACAGAGCACCAAGAAAAGGATATCCTCGCGGATCTAACATTTGCCGATGCTGAAGACGGTGTCAATCTGCTCTCAAGACCTCTGGATCAAGGCGACTACGAGACTGAAGAGTTCCATTTTGAATACAGCCCCGACGTGCAGCGGCCGCGGATATTCAACGACATGATCACACTGCTACCCCGATCAGACCACATGATCAAGTTGACTATCAGCCATGCAATTGCTCAGAGCACCAAACTCTGCTTTTTTGAAGAGAGAATGATTGAGACGATGCTTGATGCACAGCATGTGCCTAAAACTCTGGCCCTGACAGGAGAACTGGGCATGACGAGGACCGAGATTGTCAAAATTATCGGTCGGCTCTTCAAAAGCCGTGTGGATATCAATCTCTGTAAGTATACCTTCCATCAACCCCTTTCTTTGCGTATGACCGAGTGCGCAGTGATGTTTCCAATGAGCTAACGATGCATAATAGCATCAAATATTCTCGACGTGCCTAATTTCTTCTGGGACTCGGAGCCCACGCTGCATCCTTTGTACGAAGCCATCCGCGAGTACTTGGAGATAGATCTTCGCATCAAGGTACTCAACGAGCGTTGCCGAGTATTCTTGGACCTGGCAGAGATTCTTTCCGACTCGGATGCTGATGCCAAGATGAGCTACATCACCTGGATCATCATCGCACTCATTGTCCTCAGTATCCTCGTTACAGTCACTGAAGTCGGTCTTCGGTTTGTGATGCTCGAGCGCAGCAAACGCAACGAAGACAACAACAGTAACAACGGCACCAACTGCGCTGGAGCCGATGTGACCTGGAGCACAAACGGCAAGCCGGGGGAGGCTGTGCTCACGACACCGCTCCTTGTAGCACCGCCACCGGCCGGCTTGTCAGTGCCGGTAGATCGTGCTGGGGAGAAGAGACACGCGGCCTTAGCCTCAAGCGACCTCGAGATCCTGGCCCGCGCGCTAGGCTTGGAGGGCGATGCTACTCTGGAGAACGTTAGACGCGGCATTTGGCACCTGAGAAAAAATAGGGATTCAGGTTCACGATACAGCGGCCAGATGGAAGATGTGGATTGATACTATTCTCATACATATTTTATGAGCTTTGGAGGGAATAGGGGTTGCTTGCTGCTTTTGATTCTTGAGCGTTAGGAGCTTGGATATCCTTCTTTTGTCGTCGTTTTTTACGTGCCAATGTCTTTATTTTCTTTTTATTTTATTTTCAAACTCGAAGGGGTTTCGGTATCAGTAATGTAATAGCTTTTCCTTGGACGTCTGCAGGATATTTCAACTCCAGACTTGTTAATAGCGACTGATGGGAAATCCACGGCGTTAGGCTGGGGCTGTTTGAGCGTTGACAACATCTTAATATAAAATATGTTAATTATAAAAGTTTACTTCTGACACTGACGAATTTTGAAATCTGCATTGGGCTAGAAGTTTCTCTCGGCACATGTGCTGTATCCGTCCATCAAACTTGACGTCTCCATCTCAGCTCTATACTAGCACCATACTATTAATCGCTAGCCGTTTGTCATTAGCCTTATAACCAGGGGAAAAAAGAAAAGAAAAAAAAAAAATTTGAAAAAAAGAAAAAAAAAAAAAAGAAAACCCACCATCGCACTCAATAGTCGCCGTCCGCCCGACTGCCATCGGCACCAATCTTACGCAAGCGCCATTCAATAGTCTCGGCTACCAGCAGCCACACTTATGCAGGTTCAAATTATATGTTGCATGGCAAGCGCCGAAAAGTGGCTCTTCCCGCGCGCCGGATTGCCGGGCTTATCTTCAGGGGTTTGTTTTAGGGAAAAAAGAAAGAACAGAGACGTAAAGAAATAAGAAGTCCTCGTTGAAGATTGGGGGCTGTGCTATGGCTGAGACGGGGGACGGGACATTATATTGCTTGGTATTGGGATTATTTTTTTTCATATACTGCATAATCAAGGTATGGGTAATGCTATTGTAGCTTATATGGAAAAAGGAGCCAGAGGAGAAAAATTAAACGTAGAAAATAAATGGAAAATTGCCATGCCCCAAGCTATCCTAGAGGCAACTTTTGTCACACACATAAAAACACCCGCGGATACACGACCCATTGTTGTGTTGCTAGAGTATCATCATCTCCCTAACGCCGTATCCCATCTGATCGTGACAACTTCCGTAGCCCACCAAAATCTCTTTCTGACGCTGCCCATAAGCGACAGCAAACAGACAAATGTGTATATTAAAACAAGTGGCTTATTCAGCCATTAGAAGCACCTCTGGTTTGTGGTCAAGCATGAGTTGGGTCGAATTTCTGTCCCTAATATGCTGGCCGGCTTTTTTCTCCAAGCATCCATCTCTATAGTATATCATCAAGGGTTTTTAGAAAAAAAAAAACGGGTTATATCAAAATGCTGAGATTTGTTATGCAGCCAATAGTCGCTACCTCTGCTCAGTAGGCTTGAAAGAGGCCTCTTGCTGCTGCTGCTTCTTTTTGTTTTTGTTGTCTAGCTCGGCCTTGCTGTAGATGGCAGCTCCCATCATTGTGACGGCCATGCCGGCGCCATTGAGGAAATCCACACTGACGTTGAATAGGAAAATACCAAGCATGACAGTCAAGCATTGCTTGAGGTTGCCGCAGACGGTCATGGTCAGGGCGCCGGCCAGCTTGTTGGTATTGAAGGATGAGATGTTGAGAAGTAGCGCCAAGAAACCGTTGCCAGCAAGAGAAGCAGACGCGGGCGCAAGATTAATTTCGCCGCTTCTGACGAGCGCGCGGAAGCCGGCAACCTCTCCAGAAGCCGTGGCACAGGCCAGAGCCTGGAGAGCGGCGAGGGGAGACATGCGCATGAGGAACTCGACGGGAGGGAGGGCCAATGATCCGGTCATGAATCGGTTGGTAACAACAGTCTATATTGTTGTGGTTAGCCTTGACAAGGTACGGGGGAATGTGGGCATGCTGTCAAATTACCTTGAGGGCAGCAAGAATGACACCCAGGATGGTGAGGAGGAATCCGGCGTCTGAGAAGCTCATTTCACCGGCGGTGGTCATAGTAGCACCGATGATCAAAGGAACGAGAGAGAGATATGTCATTGTGCTATATGTTCGGCCATACCACACGCGGAAAATGACAATGGCAAAGATGGGGGTAAGCATGCGCATTGTCTGGTAGAAAGGAACAGAAACCATGGCCAGGGACAGGTTGGAAACGGCAATGTTGGCGGTAAAGAGAGCGCTGAAGGCGACGAGGGAAAGGTTTTCGCGACGACCGAGGCGTGAGAGCTTGAAGTAGCCCATTTGCAGCATGGCATATGTTCCCAGACTGGCGAAAGAAGTGTGGAGGAACGTTAGAAGCCAGGGAAAGTGAAACTAGATTCATATAAACGGATTAGCAAGCCATTGAAGAAGACGCATGGTATCATCATATGGGGGTGGGCACTGAAAGAATCGCACCACTGCCTTGAAAGTGGGATATGAAGGCTATAGAACGTACCATGCCAAGGACCAGCTTGTTGTAGAGAGTGAGGACCAGAGAGAGGAAAAAGTAGGTTCCCAGCCAAGTGAACTTGACGGTGCTGGGTATTGAGTATTCATGGTCGAGGTTTTGATTCTGGGCATCGCTTTCGCTTTTTCCAGCTTCAATGTCCTTGAAATCCTGCTCCTCGGGAGTCAGGAGCGCAACGTCCTGTGAGCGCCTAGACATGGTGGGCGAGCTGTATATCGACGTAATCGGGCGTATAAGTCTTGAAAACGAAGCGAGATCTGATATTGGTGTATAAGATACTCAAGCTCCTCTAAGCAAGCATAACTCGCGAAAGCCGAGACGGAGCGAGATTCGGTAATAGATTGTCGACCGGATCTGGCAGGGATGCAGCCAGAAATGTATACGAAGACGTCGCGTGCGAAGAAGTCGTATATCGTCCGGTTCGTAGACAACGGCGTAATAATGGAAGCAACAAAAAAACGAGGCAAACCGCTATTACAGCCGAAGGACTCCGAGTCTCTAAAACAGGCAATGGACCAGGCGGGGGTGGAGGAGCGAGCGACAAGTTGGAGCTGCAAAAAAGCACGGCGCAGACGCAGTTGTTAAAAGGACACTGCGTTGCCTTGTCGGATCTGAAAACAACAAGAAGAAAAAGGCAGCTGATGGAGGTGGAGGAGGGGAAGAGCGTCGAACAGGAGGAAAATGTGGCGTGGACCTGAGATTGGAGGTTGAAATGGGCGCCGCAGCACGATCAGGAGAAGGGATTGGCTGGGGCTCGAATTTAGCACTGGGTCGGCTGGAGTCAGCTAGCGGGCCTGTGGTGCGCTAGAGACGCCTGACGGAGCGGCCAAGGACGCTGTGACTGCTTGCGTCTGCATGTGCGGCGGAACGTGGTGGCACTGTGCGAGGGCTTGGCAGCGGAGCACGCTGGAAGCCGCGATTCGACACGCGCTTGACGGGAATTGCGGACTGCGGATTGGGATTGGGATCAATTTTGGTTGATTATAGTGGCTGGGGCCCTGCTGGAAGGCACTGGCCGGCCCTAGACACTCGCTGTATTGTACTGAAGCGAACAATATCTGTCTGGCACCGACAGTACAATTTGGAGGACGGGGGTTGGTTGGGGCACGAAACACGGCACTCAAACTGGGTGACGGCATGGTGCTTGGGCTCAATGCACTGGCAGGATTCAGCCTCTGCCCTCGTCTGGCGGTGGACATTCAGCTATCCGTGCCAACCAGACTGGCCCAGCGCCGAGCCCAGCACAAGAGACCAGGGGGCCCTGCCTTGGAATATCATCCAGTCAGCGCCGGCGTCTTGGCATCGGCTCTGGACGGCCAAGGGAAAAATGAAGTGGCTAAATGGCGAGCCAGAGCTGCCCTCGATATTGTCGCCAAGTCGCGTTTGTGTTTGCCCTGTCTTGGCGAAGTTGGATCGATGCGTGTACAAACAGGTACCTACGGATTTGAACTAAGCGATTGTGCTTGAAGCCGGCTGCGTTCGGGACTTGGCTGCTACGAGTATAATGTTTCGAGAAGAATGGAATAGCGCTGGGGAAACTAAACTGATACGAACTGCTCTGCATGTACTTGTATGTACAGGTTGCCATCATGCGACGAGTCTCCCGCTGCGGCTTCGTATAAACCGAGTGACGTGGATGCGCAGGAATCGAAACAAGAGCCATCATGCCGTAAACAAGCAGATATATCATGCAGCTTGTTGTCTCTCCTGGCGTAGAGCGGAAACAGCCACCAGATCAGCCGTTGTTTTCGCCAAGCTTTTAGTCTCCATATTAAGACAAAGCCGCCGGGAGCGTCGACTGCTTTTTCGTTGTACACCCAATACTGTGGCTGGCACATGGCTATTTTTACTTGTATATCGAATCACCCATGCGCTCGAATGCAGATGCATCTACGAAATAGAAATCAATCGTATTCGACATGTGCTAGGCACCATAAGCTGCTTCACTTCGGCGCAATGGCTTCCGAAACAGCCGACGTCGCGGGCCGCACTATAGCCAACCAACTGCTAGCCGAGACATATGATAGTTGACGCTTGACGCCCGTACTGAGACTGCAAATACACTCAGGGCACTGCTATCTGGTTCCCGAAAACAAAACTAAGAATAAAAGGAAAAATGCAAATGTATGTTCAACTGTACAGGACAGCCACAGACCAAGGATAGAGCACAGGCATCCAACGTTGCCGACCATGGAGGAGAGATCGTCGGATCTGCAACATGTCCATCTGCCAAATTGGTCCATCTCCCGAGCCCTTTTGCAGCGATTGGCATCTCCTAGCACGGGAGAGGGAGGTACACATGTTAGAGGTCAGAATTGCGTGCTTATCCGGCTGTTTCTGATATGAGGACCCTTGCAATGGCACAGAAGCATGTCGGATATTTGACGCTGCTATCGACGTATCTACCTAGGCTTTGTTCCTCGATTACGTGTGCCGACAACTGCTTGCTGACTTCAGAGCTCAAAGTTGATGACACTTGTATGGACAGTTGATTGTCGTTGCACTAGAAGCGTAGCACCTGTACCCCATACTGGCGGGTGTCTCGAGTTGACACGATTACTGATAGCGAGTGATCGGCAGAGCTCAGCTGCAGGGAATAGAGATGCAGCTTAATCCTACCTCCATCCTCGAGATATAAGGGGAGAAATGGAAACCCGGTATGGTGAACGCATCTACTACAAGGCGCCAGTGCTTTTAAATAAGCATAATGCCTCTCGCTTACTGTACGTTGCCAACATGTCCATTGTTGTATAATCTCTTTACACCAGGCCTATACACCGCCTGTTGCGCCTTGGTTAGATGCATACATTTACCCATGTGCCATATGAAGTACATGTAATTTAATATTCAACACCAACATTGAAGCACCAGCATATCCCAATCCAGTCAAAAAGACTTTCTCGCCGTACCAAATAGCCTTTCCAACCCGCCAGGGGCAGCGACAAATGAAAGACGTAGAAAGAGGATCCAGGCATAATCCAGCATCCCCAAAAGGAAAATACACCTGAAGATCCAATCCCGAGATCCATCAAACCAGCGCTGAGCCAAGATCATTAGCCCGTCCCTTATCACTTTCTACCCAGCACAGTATGCCTAGGGGGTAAAAAAAAAAACCTTCATCTCAACCATGTTCTGTTCCATACAATTACTCAGGGTTCTTCCCAGAATGTACAAGTGCTGTCTTGAACCTTTCACCGGCTGGTTTCCAAACCCACCAATGCCAGCTCCCACTTACAGCGAAAACAATAGATTGATCGACAGAAGCGATGATCGTTTTCCAGTAGTGCAGCCGCAGCCGCCGAAAGTCAAGGCCCTTTTGGCTGACACGATGGATCTTCTCTTTTGTCCTTCTTTTCTTCTCCGTTTCTTGTGTGAAAAGGCTCAGACGCCTGCGACCTTCCCATTTGTTCTCTGTCTCATGCGGATCACACAAAGTCGCCTTGTACTTCGATCCTGCCGCTCATTTCCATTTTTTTTTTGTTGTAATCAGACTTGTGTGCTCTGCACCACGTTCATTCTTTTGACTTTCTATCCGCCAGATTCCCTTCTTCTTTTCTCTCTCATTTACTCCCTTCTTTCATCTCTTTTTCTCCTAAGTTCGCTTTATTCTGTTACTCCAGCTTGTCGTTCGGCCCTGGGTCGTCGACGCTCCCACTATCAAACATGGTTGCCTCATCAGGTAGGCGGCGAAACGTCTTCGTTGCCGCATTAATTGCCATGTCCTTTGCCATAGTCTTTTACTACAATTCATATCCTGACCCTGTATGTGACCACAACCCCCAACATGGTGCTCCTCGCATATATGTTGCCGCATAGCGGCTGATATAAAAGCGCTATTAGGAAGGACTCATTGCTATGCTACCACATGGTGCTAAACTCTTAAACACAACACTGCCGTCTTCTCTACTATCGCCGTCTTCAAACTCCTCGAAAACCAGTCCGGATTCTGGTTCAGATTCGGCCCCGGAGCCAAAGACGTCGAGGCTGCACTATCTCATTCCAGCCAGCCAGCCAAACTTACATTTCTGTTACAATCTAGTTTCCTCGGCCGTCAACCGCTATCCGGTTCCTACACTGCTAGGCTGGCATGGAGAGGACGAATTCGATGCCGCAAAGACTCATCTTGCCAAGCTGCGAACCATGGAACGATATTTCAACTCGCTCCCTCCCGATGAGGACGACGATCTGGCAATCATCGTGGATGGCTATGATATTCTCATCCAGCTGCCTCCCGAGATTATGGTCGAGAGATACTTTCAAGTTGCCGAGCGCGCGGATGCTCATCTGGCGCAACGGTTTGATATCAGCGTTGGCGAGCTCCACCGACGTGGTCTTCGCCAGACCATCTTCCTGGGGCCTGACAAAATCTGTTGGCCCATTGATCCCGTAGCGCCCCGATGCTGGACTGCTCCCGAATCACCCATCCCACCAGTTGCTTGGGGCCCGGATAGGGGAGATAATGCCATGTTCTATGCCGACCCGCGGTGGCTGAATTCAGGGACAATCATGGGGCCCATTGGCGATCTGAGGAAATACATTGCGGCGACAATGGACGAGATCAGGGCCACACACGATCCTTTGTACGAGTTCAGAGAATCGGACCAGTACTACATGGCCAATGTTTGGGGCCGACAGGAATATTGGCGGTCGAGGATGATGGGCAGCGAACTCCCAGAATTCCCGCCTGACAAGATTATCCCGGCCAAGAGCGACCCTTTCCAGACGACCGAGTACCATGTTGCAATTGAGTACGAGTCTGCGCTGTTCCAGACCAGGGCGGGATACCAGCCTTATTTTGGATATATGCAATTCAATGAATCTGGCTTGACAACTAAACTTGCCGTTGATGTCCGCGAACAAGGGCCTTTATTTGAGCCCCCCACCATCAAGATGCCCAAGAGCATCGTGGCTTCACTGAGCAAGCTCTATGATGCTATCCCAGAAGCTCACCCGGGGTCTACATCAGCAGATTGGCTCGGCGTTGTCGAACTGGGCGTCAACTTCATCACCCATCATATCTACGGCCTCTGGCACTGCACCGGGCCCAAGGAGTTTGTCCAGTTTGAGTATCCCACGCTGTGGTTCTATCCCTATGTCAAATCTCTACTCAAAGCCGCCGTCAAGGCCTCACAGGCCGGCGAACCTCTGACGCATAAACTCATCGATGGCCGAAAGTGGGTTCCGAAGAACTACTATCCAGCTGGCGATACTCCTGATGACGAATTCGGCGGGGCCTGGACGGACTTGAATGGTGAGTTTGCTCCGTGGAGAGATCTCTGCGAGCCTCACAACGATTTGCTTTTTGAAGGGGAAGAGAGCACGCCGACTCTGGGAGCGGGTGGACTGGTTTGAAAAACCGCAGATTTGGAGTTTTCGGGAATGGATATAGGATATGATTTTTTTTTTCTTGGCGTCGTTTCTCGCTGGAGACTTTTCTTTTTTTTTTTTTCCTGCATTATGGATTTTGGGGGTAAAGCATTGGGGTTGTTTTTTTTTTGTTCTCTAAATTCCCGTTCAAAGATTACTTTTGTATGCATTCTGGGGTAAAGTTGCCTGTGGGCTGGTTTGGAGACATGTACATAGATACTGTTGGACTAGGACGTTAGAGCTAAAGAGATAGATATGAGAGGCTTGAGACAAGATGGCTTTTTTTCTTTTCAAAGGGTTATGAATGATTCCATATCATATATATTCTGAGCAGTGAATTGTCGTTCCTCTCCATTGTCCATAATAGTTACTATAGAATCTTTTTGGTAGCTACGGTGAGATTTGCTACTGTTCAAAACACACAAAGTACTGCACAAAGTTTTAAAGTTTCATGACTCTGAAAAGACATTTCTGTTACTGAATTTAAACGCCATTATTCGTCCATCAACGCACGCTATGCTCCCTTGGTCCGGCCAATTACCATTTCGTTTACAAGATCCAACTTCAACTCACTGCCTTCATCGTACACCTACGTGTTAAAACTAGCAACTCCAATATACCTAGACAATGAGAGTCTACATCTAAGCCTCTAGATCCTCCAGGGCAACGTATCCCTCGCCGCGCTTCGTGCCACGAGCACGGCCAAACATCTCCCTCGCCCAGCCAACGATGCCGGAGCCGCTCTTCCACTGCAGGTTGCTGTTGCCAGAGGCGTCGAGCGAGTTCTCCTCGAACCACTGGGGTCGCTTCCAGTACTTGAGCATCAGGCTGCTCAACACAACGCTGACGCTGCTGCAGGCCATGGCGCCTGCTGCCACCATGGGGTGCAGGTGGACGCCGAGGGGCAGGAAGAAGCCCATGGCGAGGGGGATGCCGATGATGTTGTACAGGCAGGCCCATGCCAGGTTCATCTTGATGCGGCGGAAGATGTGTCGGGTGAGGTGCATGGCGGACGGGACGCAGAGCAAGTCGTCGGGGCGCATCAGGACGATATCCGCGGCCTCCATAGCGACGTCTGTTCCGCTGGCCATGGCGATACCTACGTCGGCCGTGGCCAGGGCAGGAGAGTCGTTGATGCCGTCTCCCACCATGGCAACAACTTCACCCTGCTCTTGGATTTGCTTGATGATGGTTTGTTTCATGTCGGGGCTAACGCCGGCGTATACGTTTTCAGGAGAGATGCCGACAACGGCTGCAACGGCCAAGGCCGTGGGGCGCTGGTCTCCGGTAACCATGGCTGTCTTGACTCCCATACGGTGCAGCACAGAGATTGCCCAGAGCGCACCATCCTTGATGATGTCCGAAAGGCAGAGGTGGCCCGTGTAGTTTCCATCAATGGCAATGAAGATGTTTGTTGTTCCTGCGCTTACATTTTCTGACGGCGAGCCCTTGCCCTTGCCCTTTGTTGAGGAGTTGGTTTGATCTGCGGCATCAATGGCACTTTGAGGAACTTCGACGCCATTGCTTTCAAGGAACTTGACGTTTCCGGCTAGAACCCTGTAGCGAGTTCTCTCGCCAGATAACGCAGGCTCAACGAGGGCATTGATTCCTCCACCGACAGTAAGCTTAAAGTCAACAACGCTACCGGGGACAGCACTCTCAGCATCGAGAATTCCGAGTCCTTCTTTAGCAGCAGCCAGGATGGCTCTGCCAATCGGGTGTTCGCTGCCCATCTCAGCAAGACCAACAACTGACCACCAGAGTCTCTTTCGTAGCGAGTCACCCTTCCAGCCGGTAACCAACTCCATCTTGGCAACGCTCATCTTACCGCGCGTGATTGTGCCAGTCTTGTCGAATACGACTTGGGTGATTTTGGTGGTTGTCTCCAGTGCAGCTCCGCCCTTGATGAGGATACCATTCTCCGCTCCAACACCGGTTCCGACCATGACGGCAGTTGGTGTCGCTAAACCAAGGGCACAAGGGCATGCAATTACAATGACGGAGATACAAATCTTGAGGCAAACCATGACCTTGCCGCCGCTGTTGTCCTTCATGAAGATCATGGGCGGGTGGGGAAGAGCATGGCTGAGAATCAACCATACGAGGAGAGTGAGTAAGCTGAGAGCCAAAATCAAAGGAACAAAGTAGCCTGCCAAAGTGTCGGCCAGCTTCTGGATAGGGGCCCTCGTGGTCTGGGCGTCCTGAACAAGCTTCACAATTTGGCTGAGTTGGGTATCGCGACCAGCTCGAGTGACACGGAAATCCACTCTACCATTACCGTTGACCGTTCCTCCGATCAGGTTGGAACCAAGGCGCTTCTGCACAGGCATAGCCTCTCCGGTTACCATGCTCTCATCGACATAGGTTTCGCCCCTGACAATGACACCGTCGGCCGGGATTTTATCACCAGGTCGAATAACGACAATGTCCCCAGCCTGGAGCAGATCGGTCGGGATGTTTCTTTCCTCATACACCGAAGCATTTGCCTCCTCTGAACGCTGGGCCATGTTGTCTGTAGATTCTTCAGCAGATTTGGCCCATGATTCCGATGCCTTCTCTACGGCAATAGGATCGGCATAGATGGTTGCCATTGATGGGGCGAGAGACATGAGCCGGGACAGAGCCTTTGAAGTTTGGCCTTTGGCGCGGTTCTCGAGGAAGCGGCCGAGGGAAATGAAGGTGAAAAGCATGCCGCTAGTCTCGAAGAACACACCCGGTCGAGTGTGTGGTGGTAGGGCAATAGAAATGATCATAGCAATAACGCTAAAGAAGTAGGCGCATGAACTACCAAGAGCGACAAGGACGTCCATCGTGGGAGCACGGTGCTTGAGTGACTTGTAGGCTGAAATGTAAAATCGTTTTCCGACACCAAACTGAATGGGTGTGATGGCGATCATGCAGACGAGGTCGCCGAGATAGAGACCAGAGATGATCTCAATGACACCGAAATCTAAGCTGGGGAAAGCCATTGGCAGGATCATGCTGATGAACATGACCGGGACAGCCACTGCGACACAGAGCCTGAAGGTGTTTTTCCACTCTGTGATTTCTTTTGTTTTGGCCAGCGACTCGAGCTGTGCGTTGTTGTCCTGACTCTCCGCCACCAGGGCATTAAAGCCCGCTGTTTCTACCTCCTCGACAATTGCGCGAAGGCCAGTGACGGTAGGCTTATGTGTGACGGAAAGGCGATCCGTAGAGAGACTAAGTGAAGCGGACTGGACACCAGGAAGAGCCAGCAGCTTTTCTTCGAGGGCCTTTGCAGCGGCAGCATCTGGGCTACCATAGACCTTGAACTGAGAGGTAGTTGATGTGCCATTTTGATCGTGGGCGTCAAAAGCAGTAGACAATACTGTAGCACCAAATCCGCAGTCTTCAATGATTTCGGCGATCTTATCAGCAGAGAGCTTCGCAGTGTCGTGAGTAATGACTGCGCGCTCGGCCAGAAGACTGATGTTGAATTTCAAGACGCCCTCAACTCCCTTGAAGCCTCCCTCGACAGCAGAAGTACAGGCACCGCATGTCATTCCCTCGACGGCTACAGTCGTAGTGGCAACGGTACTTGCCGGGCCTTCAGCCTTTGCATTGGCTTTGCTATCAACAATTTCGGCGCCAAAGCCTCTGTCTTCAATGATTTCCGCGATTTTCTCGGCTGACAGAAGCTTCGAATCGTGCTCGATGACGGCTCGTTCTGAGAGGAGCGATATGCTGAAGGTCTTGACGCCAGGAACATCCTTGAAACCGCCCTCTACGGCAGAGGTACAAGCACCACATGTCATGCCCTCAATGGCGACCGTTGTCGTTACTACTCCGTCGTCTTCACTCTCGATGGCCTTGTCTGTAAACCGAGTAACAACTGGGGTCAAGAGGTCCGTCGAAACAACCTCGGCGTCGAATCCGGTATCCTCGATGATCGTTCGGACTTTTTCGGCGCTGACGATCTGCGCATCGTGCGTGACAACTGCGCGCTCCATGACGAGGCTGACAGAGACGTTGTCGACACCTTGGACATTCTTGAAACCACCTTCGACTGCCGACGTACATGATCCGCACCTGTAGAAGAGGAAAAAAACAAGTCAGTGACGAACGTTATTTGAAACCCCTTCGAGTTCGGATGGAAGCTGGCGCAACATACGTCATGCCGCCAACGCGCAGTGTGGTCGTTGCCATGTGCGCACTCTTGGGCGCAAGGCCTGCATCTTCATCGATATCCCGCCCGGGGACCTTGATGTATGCCGGAGCCATGATTCTGGTCTTCAAGTTCTACTACTTTTTTTTGGGTATTTTTCCTTTTGTTTTTATGTATTGTCTCACAAGCGGAAACGCAAAGGCCCGCGTTGGGGACGGCGGGAAGCCTTTCTCTTAACGTGGTTCACCTTGAAGCTGCAAGCATCGCACGAGTAAACAGAAACAAACAAGAAGCTGGGTCGTTCGGTGACCGGGCCGATGAGCGAACCAAGCGTCGGATTTATTCAGAGACCAGCTCCGGGAGAAAGAACGCAAACGGCTGGGAATGAGGATTTAATAGTATCTAGCCGGATCGGATTTCGTCAGCAAAAAAAGTGTCTCGCCGAGCAAGCCGCGGCGCTTATCGTCAGAGGGGAACCCAGTCAAGGCCCTCCACAACAAACAGGCAAATGATGCTCATTTATACCGGGCCACGAGAGAGTGAGATGCAAGGGAGATGCAAGGGTGCATGAGGTTACCGTGTAATATTATAAATCCTCGCACGCACAGTCCAAGAAGAGAAGGAGGCAGGACGACGTGAATAGCGCCACAGAGAGCCAAAGCGTGCAGCCAATACGGGTGCCCGGTCGCAGAAGGGTGTGTGACGGCTCGCGGTTGGTCGCCCCAGAATAGCGCTGCTCTGGTGGTATCCGGAAAGGTGGGAAAATAAGAAAATAAAGTGGCTCAATAGGAACGAGGCTTGGCTTCCGGGAAGCGTAAAAGCCGGAATCAGCGAGCCAGGTAAGACAAAGGGAACAAAAGCACAATGTGACCAGCCAGGGCCGCAAGGTGGAGGAGAAGTGAAGGGGAAATGAAGAAAGGGAAAGAAATGAGAGAAGGGAATACAAGAATAAGGACGCGTACGAGTGTTTTGTCGACTCGGCACCCAGTTATACGTAAAAAGCCCAGATAGGAGGAAGACGGAGGCGCTGCAGCTGTCGCACTACTGTTGTTTTAGGGAGGCTAGCAGCCGCCTATCGTGAAGCCCCCAGCGGCGCAGAGGCTGGGCCCGTGTTTCATCAGCGCTGCGGTGCCAGTGCTTGGCTGAATAATCGCGCCGCCGCCTGTCAAATGCTGATGAAGGACCGCCGTCATTTCGTTTGGGCAGACGCTCACAGCACCGACTGCTGCCCGTTACTGGGCACTTGATCAATGTTTTACTTAGTAATTGCCTAGATACCGGATTAGGCCAGTAGTCTACAATCGGTGTTCTACATATACCTACCGTACTCGTGCTACGTAAACAACATTTGCGTCTCGTCCCGGCCAGGAATTCAAGCTTGTTTGCAACCGCCCTTCGTAGATCCGAGTCAAGTCGTCCGAGAGCACAAAAGTCCGTTCAAATTGCCAATGTCGCAGTTTCCGCTGGGTCAGCATGCGGCGAGCCCTAATCTGCTCCCTGCTACTGCTGTTTTCTCTCTGGTCAGCATGCATCAAAGGCCACTACTAATTCTGTTGTGTAGCATCGCCAGCACCTTGCACAAGTAACCAATATTTCATGCGGAATCTTATCCCGTTCCGTTTAAGCTCAAGTCATTAGATGTCAGCTAAAAGATGACAACTTATGCCCAGGGTCTTTCCCCTCTTCTTCATGCAGATGTTTGGTAGCAATGTTTCTTCGGAGCTTTGCTTTCGCGGATAGAACCGTTCTTTCGGCCCGTTGAAGCCTGTCGTAGTCTATCTTTTATCATCCTTCGGGTCAACTCAATCGAAGTGTTTATGGATGCGCGTAAATACGAAGTGAGTCTGTAGATGTGGCTGGCAGCACAGATGAATATATCCGGGCGTTCGCAGCTCAGCCCAGCCCAGCCCAATACTGCTTTGTACAGAGTAACAGCAGCAGCAGTAGCAGCAGCAACTTTAATAACCTTGTTCTATGCACCACTAATTCCTTTGGCTTTTTCCAGCTCGAAAATAAGCTTTAGCATCTCATCTCATGACATCAAATCGTAGAGAGTACTGGTAGCTGAATGAGAATAGCAGTAACAATAGTGTTGCTAGTGTTTAGTTTCACATACAGCTCCAACCTAAAATTCGCCCAAGTGACTTCTGTTTCGCGCCCCTCCACTGCAGCTAGGCCCAGCAACCACTCAGCATCGCTGCTATCCAAAACCTCAAATCTTCCTGATGCACCTAACCCACGCAAAAGCAGATCCAGACAGCAGATTCACGGCTCTAAACAGCAAACCCACTCCAAACCCCCGATACCATATATAACTATTTTTTTTTGGGTGTTTTCTTTTGCCAAATTATCAATCAGCCTCGCCTATCAGATCGAGATCAATCTTACCCCACTCCCCGCTGCTGAGCGTGCGGCAGCCTCTCTAGAGCGTGGTCCATCAGCCTGCCATCACGCTTCAAGAAATTAAGTCATAGTCACAGAAACGCTCATCATGGAGCAAACAAAGGCGTTGAACGCTTTAGAGGTACGTTTTACCCCAACTTCAACAAAACCCCTTCTATTTAGGACATCTTTACTCACACAAGCACCCATAGCCCTTCCTGGCCCTCTCAAAATCAGCCACCTCTCCCCGCGCTGCCGCTGATCTCGTCACCCGCGCAACCTCAGCTCCAAACACCTTCCTCTTCACCGAGCTCCTCCAGACACCGCAGATCCAGGCCCTCGCAGCCAGCCAAGAATTCACAGCATACCTCACCCTACTCCAAATCTTCTCCTACGGCTCCTACGGGACATACCATGCCACCGCCGACCTTCCCACCCTGAACGACACCCAGACCCTCAAGCTGCGGCAGCTCTCCCTGCTATCCCTGGCCAGCGATCGATCAAGCCTATCATACGATGCACTACAAAAGGCTCTAGGCCTCTCTTCGCCCCGAGAGGTAGAGGACCTCGTCATCACAGCCATCTACGCCGGCCTCTTGCACGCCACCCTCGACCCTGCTCGCCAGGCCGTCTCGGTGACAAGCGTTGCTCCTCTCCGAGATCTCGCTCCCGGCACAATCCCAGATGTGATTGGCGCCCTACAAAACTGGGCTGGCCGTTGTCAGTCTACCCTCGGAGACCTCGAAGAGCAAATCAAGAACATTCGCGATGCGGCCACTGTACGAGAGAGAGAGAAACGGGCCTCGGCCAAGAAGCTCCAGGCTTTGGTGGAAAGTGTAACTGAAGATAAGAACATGCTCTCAGGATACCCGCGCGACAATTTGACTCGGAGGGGCATCAGCAAACGCTCCATGGCTGACCCCACGGGTACAGAGTCAAATGCCGAGCTGATGGATATCGATGACTTATACCCAGCAGACGACGTGGCTAAAAGAGCCAGTAAGAGGAAGTTGTAGCAGAGGCAAGGCAGAGCGTTGGCAAGACAAGCGGAACTTAGACTTCCAATGTGATGTAAATTTAGATAGTCACGACGAAATATGATACAATACATGACTTAAGCAGGTCACAAGCCATCCAGTACGCCGGTGTTACTGAGGAATATAAAACGTTGAACCAGCAACTCCAAGCCGCGGCTGATGATACAGATTGCCTGAAATACAAATAAAGTAAGGTGAAAACATGTGTGAGTATATATCAAAACAGAAGAAGAAGAAAATCTAAAAGCTCGCGCCAAAATCCCTGTTGGTCTCTTTCTTGGGTCCTAGTTTCCACGGGAAAGGTATCCTATCGCCCGATTAAACCCTATAAAAATTGTTCGTAACGGTCGTCATTTGAATTAGATGAATCTTGCTCTCAACGGTGCACGCACGGAGATAGCCTGTGTCCAAGATAATGCGTACAAGCCAGTACGATGTCCGGCATCCCCTGGCTAAGAAGAGACATGCGAAGCAAGATTTAGAGTCTTTTGCCCGGGACAAGAATGAACAAAACACATAGCCCAGCATCGATCAGCAGAGTCACAGCCAATACCATCATAGCGCGCTTTGCAAGCATGCGGCGGACATAGGGTTCTCTAATGCGCGAGAAGTTAAAGGGTGTGTACTCGCTGAATCCGATGAGTGCCAGGATTGGGTCTAGGGAATATTGGTATGACGCCAGGAAGTAAACGCCAATAGTGAATGGAAGAATGAGCTAAAAAGAGGGCGATGCGTTAGCACGCTAATTAAGAGGTAGTCAAGCTTAATGTCGGATTAAGTAAACTTACCCAGCATCGGAGTGCTCTAGATTTATCGAGAAAGATTAGGATGAATGAAGTCCAAAAAGCTCCAAACATGGCAACAAGTCCAATGATGAGACGCATAACAAGCGTCGGGGGGATGAGATTGCCCAATGCCTTCATGCGCAAGAAACCGGGAAACGCATCTCGTTCCATTGCCTGGAATACGTAGTCCTTGGCCACATCAAAGACTTCTGGGTCGTCTCGACCATACTCTTCAATGCTAGCCGTAACATCCTGGGTGATTGATCCGGGCAGCGTAATCTCTCTCTCGGCTCCAGGCATCAAAAAGGTATAGAGAATCTTCTCGGCAGAGGCCCTTATATCCTGTCGAGCCACCGTATGGGCCGGAGAGTTTGAGTCCGTCGCATCATGAGATTGGCTGAATGGAGGGCTAGGTTTGGTGTGATTCGAGCCGCTCTGTGTCTGGGGTGATTCATGGCTCTGATCTTCGCGCAAAAAGGCCGACATATGCGCATCGTGATCTCTTTCCTTCTCAGTTGGGTACCCCGATGGACCAGCCGCACGAGATTCCAAGTCGCCAAGGTCCAGTATCGACGATCGCTTAGATGTCTTTTCTAGGTCTGGGGTCGCTATGAGAACAGATCGTCGAAGTTCGCGGACGTAATGACGACAAAGAGACATGTGTTGTGAGACATCCAGCCTGACCAATATGTCAGTATTTCATCACATACTCTGCCTAATGAAACTCAATAGTTCATACCAAAAGTCCAGGTAATCTACGGATCGCTGTTGGTCTCGCATATAGATGTAGAAAGAGAAGAGATCAACGGGAGGAAGTGTGCGACGGCTCAAAACCTCGAAAAGGGTCGGCAATCGGTTGCGCGTCATGTCGGGCTGGGGCGTAGTTGACGCCGTGGTTTCTCGACTGTCCGCCATGGTGGGTTATAGGATTGTTGATTATGATAAAACGAGCGAATTTCTTGAGCTTGATATAGTAAATTTTTTTTCCAGCTATAGCTCAGGACTCTCGTTGCTAGTTGTGATGATTTGTGCAACGAGCAACAACAGAAGCTCGCGAGGAGGGAAGAAATCTCCCTGCCAGGGGAGTAACGGCGAATCTGGGCGCGGACAAAAGCGACGAACAATGATGCGATAGGACGAAATGAGCGAGAGACGGAAAAGAGAAGCCGTCGCACAGGAGCTTGTAGCAGCTCGTTGCCGGTGGTGATGGCTGGAATGCAGCGGCGATGGCTTTCTTGGACGCAGTATGGAGAACGAATGGGTCATTTAGTTTGGCGCTGGTTTCATTTCCGCTTGGGGCGCAGACTGGCGTCGAAAATTGATGCCTCAGGTGAGGATGCGACCGCGAGTTGAACCATCACGTGAATTTCGGTGGAGCCCGCAGCGACTTTTCCATGATTGGCTCGCTACCCCCACCACGGGAATTTCGAGCCTGCCCTACGCACAAAGATTTTGTGGAATTTGGCATTTCCGACTTCAACCACCTTTCCCAACGTCAAGACCGTGAAGAGTCGATCCGCAGGTACGAAGCGCACCACACCTCTCTCCCTCTCACATACGGAATCTCTGTCAAACGCTGGTCGCAAGAGAATCCTCAGCACTCGCAACTACGCCACCTCTCGTCCGACTCGAAAACTAATTGTTGAACCAATCCAGAAATGTCGTCAAAGAAGCCTACTCAGCGCTCCGCCATTGCGGACGTGGTTGCCCGCGAGTACACCATCCACATGCACAAGAGAGTACGTCGTCTCGATTACCCAAAACGAATTATCGCAAGGCAGAAAAGAAGAGGGGGGAAAGAAGGGAGCGAGAAAGCAAAAGAGATAATTCAGGATTTCGTGGTGTAGAAGGAAATGCTAACAGTTAACGTGTAAAGCTGCATGGTGTTTCCTTCAAGAAGAGGGCTCCCCGTGCCATCAAGGAGATCAAGGCTTTCGCCACCAAGGCCATGGTACGACTTCCCAACCGCAACATCCCGATAAACGCAGTTTGACTGCTTGGCGATGGACACGAAAATATTGCACCAATGGATCCATGAATGCTAACTCCTTTCCCTCAGGGTACCTCTGACGTCCGGATCGACCCTTCCCTGAACAAGAAGGTTTGGGAGCAGGGTGTTAAGGGTGTCGCCTACAGAATCCGAGTTCGTGTTTCCCGACGACGAAATGATGAGGAGGGTGCCAAGGAGAAGTTGTACAGCTACGTTCAGGCAGTCAATGTCAAGAACCCCAAGGGCCTTGCGACCGAGGTCGTTGAGGAGTAAAGAAAACTTGTTTCTCTTTGGGAATGGTTCTGGGGTGGCATGGCATTACGGAGTTGCAACCGGCTCTTCTAGCTTTTCACGCTTAAAATAAAAGACGGCAATGTGATCAACAAAGGTTTTTTTTTTATTCCACAACGAAACATCTCGCCTCTGCAACAATTGCCGCGGTAGAGAGTCCCTAATTGTTACAAAAGGGAGAGTGACGGGAAGCAGCCTGGTTAGGCGGTGATTTGTCTGTCATGATGAATTTGACAGGTTCTATTATAACTTGTAACCGGTCATGCGCTCGTGGAAGGGACGGACAGCCCCCCTTTCCCCAGCCATAGTTGTGGAAATGCAAAATACACCCAAATACCCTATCAAACGATTGAAGTGTGCCCCAATGACTCCAGGTACCCAATAACGTAAAATCATAAAGCCTGCACGCTATGAAAATGCTTACTCCTCCTCAATGTCGCGGTGTCGCCCCATAACCTTCTTTTTAAACTCTTCGGGGTCCTTGTCCCACAGCTCGGCGGCCTCGCCATTTAAAGGAGATGCACTGTAGAAACGGTATTAGTTAGTGGCTGTTTCAACGCTTTCATCGCACGAGTGAGTGAAGAGGGAGACATACTTGTTGGGTTCACCGAGCAAGCTTTGCAAGCTCAGCAGGACGGTCTGAATGTTGTAGGCGGCGGTCCATTTGTCCTTGAGAATGTCGAGGCAGATGCGACCGGAGAAATCGACGTTGGGGTGGTAGATGGGCGTCTTGAAGAGGACGGTAGGTGGAGCATAAGGATAGTTGGAAGGGAACGCGAAGCTCAGCTTAAACGTGAGACCAGAGTATGGCGTGTCTTCGGGGCCCTCGATGGTGGCGGTCCAGGACATGAGGTTGCCATCAGCGGAGGGAAACGCGGAGACTCCGGGCGCAGGCGAGGTCATAAGGGTCATCAACTCGGTCTGGAGCCTGTTGAAAAATGCGTTAGCACCCTAATCAATTTAATCCCATTGCGAGAAGAGGTCGTACCGTTTGGTGACGCTCTGGGAGTCTGGACCCTTGCGAGCGGCATTGAGCTTGGAGGCTTGGACGCTGCCGGGGGCGGCGTTCTGGTTATCCTCGGTGTAATCCATTGTAAACAAAAAACTGGCTCTTTCAGACGATGGTATATTGCGCGGGAATGGACAAAGGAGTGGGTTATTAGATGTAACAAAAAAACCGGTATCAAGTACGCGAATCAGAAAAGCGCCGTCTCGAAAAGAAGAGATGAAGTTAGGTAGGGTTGAAGTAGACCAGGGATGCAAATAAGCGGCAGGCGTTCCGCGTTGCAATAGCCAAACAGGTTCAGTATAGGCAATTACCTAATAAGGGTGGAAGGTGACGAGGTTCAGAAGAAGAAAAAGATGTACTGGGGAAAGCTGCCTGAATAAAGAAGAGAAGGAAAAGCAAGGGTTATGCGCACGAGATAATGACGGAGATCTAAATTGATGGGAAGGTCAAGATCGGGAGAAAAAAAAACACGTCGGGTTCAGATCTAAGACACGCTTCTGTTGCCGGTCAGCACAGGCTGTAGCTTCAGTGAATGGGGGACCGCTGTTTGGGGGCCTGTTTGCCGCAGCAACGCAGCGAGCAGATAAGCCGTTGAGCTGCGCAGCCAATGGATAGTGGCGGGGGCTTCGGCGAGAACAGAGCACAGGCAAAGCAAAAAAAAAAGCAAAAGGCCCATAAATTCAATCAGCTCCAAAACCTCTTTACACGGTAGAGGCGCGTTATCGTGAACAACAGTCCAGACCAATATTACTGCCTAATATTAGTGGCTTCAACCATGCTCTTTGAGTAAGGTTTGAACTCTTACCATTGCGTTCTGGTGTTCAATTCATCTTTATTTACTCTTTATTCTCTTTTTCTTTTCTACTCTATTTCAAATTTCGCTTTTGTGTGGATACAAGACGCTGCATAGAAGAAGCAGGATCACTAATAGGCATCATGGTGGGTGATTGTGCACTCCTCCCAAAAGCTTCGATACGGCCAACGCTACAATTCTTCTTTCACGCACTTTAATTTCACGTGAATACCGCTAACTGTCTCACAGTCGCAGCTTGACCCCTTACCAAAGGAGTTGCCCTTCCGGATTATATCCAAAACCGTTGGCCGCGGTGCCTATGCTTCGTATGAGCACACCTCATCTCGCCCTTTTTCTTTTCTTTTTGGTTTTGTTTCTTTTCCTCCAAAAACTCACCATCAAGTTCTTACTAATTAATACATGCCACCAAAATAGAATAAAAAAAGCTATCCCATTAGATTCATCAAGTCCAGTGTTCGCCGTCAAGCTCATTCACAAGGGATACGCCACTAAGCATGGCCGCATCTCTGCAAAACAGCTTGCCATGGAAGTCTCACTCCACTCGCACATCGGCCAGCATCCCAACATTATCGAGTGGTTTGCTTCAGGAGAAGACTCCGTGTGGCGATGGATAGCGATGGAGTATGCGGAAGGCGGTGACCTCTTTGACAAAATCGAGGCGGATGTTGGTGTCCGAGAAGATATTGCTCAAATCTACTTTCTCCAGCTGGTGGGCGGCGTGAGCTTCATGCACTCCAAGGGCGTGGCACACCGCGATCTCAAGCCGGAGAATATTCTCCTGTCTCAGGATGGAAGCTTGAAGCTGGCCGATTTTGGAATGGCAACCATGTTTGAGTACAAGGGCCAGCGCAAGACCAGCTCAACGCTATGTGGCAGCCCGCCATATATCGCGCCGGAGATTCTTGCCTGTGGGAGAGTGGATAAGAGGGCACCCAACTCAGCCAAGTATTCACCAGACCTCGTCGATATATGGTCGTGCGGAGTCATCCTTTTCGTCTTGTTGGTCGGCAACACGCCCTGGGATGAGCCGTCGTCGTCAAGCTGGGAGTTTGGCGAGTACGTAAAGACTTCAGGGAAGAGCTCAGATGCGCTCTGGGAGAGACTGCCTCTGGATGCGCTCTCCCTTCTCAGGGGCATGATGTCCGTCGACCCTCAGAAACGCTTCACTTTTGCTCAGATACGACAGCATCCTTGGTATACGCGTCATAACCCGCTGCTCACTGCTGACGGCAGAATACTCGACCCCATTGGCTTGGCCACCAAGATGCTAGAAAACCTGCGAATCGACCTCAGCCACATACCTACGACTAAACATAACTACCTCCCAACATCTCACGATCCGACTATCGATTCTGGACTCAACGCCGGGCGATTCTCGTCTACCCAGCCGGAAGCCCCAGTTACTCCCATCATTGATAAAGACTGGGACTGGGAGGCTCCCGTTCTTCGATCCAGGGCCTTGCCGTCGTCTTTACCTACGGGCTCCTATAATGCTCGTCGCATGCTCCTTGACACCCTTGCGGATGAGCCCTCCATGTCACAGTTCTCACAAATCCCGGGGCCGTCCATGACGCTGACACAGCAAGCTCGACGATTCCGTGACATTTGCCCTCCCGAATCTCTTACCCGCTTCTTCTCCCATGTACCCTCTGCCCATATTATCCAGATGCTCAGCGACGCACTGCATCAACTAAACGTGCCCTTGGCACCCGTCACGCCGAATCCCAACAGTAGCCCCATAGTCACCATCAAGATTCGTGCCGTCGATGGTCGTCGACAGAGTCTACACGGAGAAATATGCGTGGATAAGCAGCCGCTCCCAGATGGCTTCGAAGTGCTAGACATTCGGTTTGTCAAGATCAAGGGAGATCCCCTAGAGTGGCGGCGATTCTTCAAAAAGGTGGTAGTGCTCTGCAAGGATGGGGTCTATGTCCCGGAAGCTTAGGGGAATTCGGGGCAGTTGTTTCCTCGCAACGAGTATATAACCAAGAGAGTACCAGAGCTGGTTGGGGAGCTTTCTGGGTAGCACGCATTCTAGATAGATTATGTATATATGAGCACGCGACATGGCCGATGATAATGAGGAGTTCGATTTGTTAATATTAGTTCTTCTATGAATTTTTGTCTCCTGGCATTTTTCCATTCACCGTGTCCGTAGCCTTGTCTCTTTGATATTTATGGTCTTAATCTGCTTGTACGGGGATCTCATTAGGTCCAGGCGTCTCATCAGCCTGGTCTCGCCATTCAAAAGCTATTCAAACTATCAGCTAGTATTCCTGAGAGAGAAGAAGACAAGGGAAAAGAAAGCATACGCTGTCGACACATGGGACATTGTCCCTTTGAAGATTCTTGCTTGATCCATTCCATGATGCAGTGCTGCATCGCATCAGCATTACTAACGCTCTTCGAAACACACGTCTGAAGGCCGACGAACCATATGAAAACTATGCCCACATTTTCCAGATACTATAAACATCTGGTTAACGCGTCACTTCTCAGCGGCAAATTCATTCCACAGGCTGCACATACATAGGCTGCAGTCGTCGCCAGGATATTTGCAGGTAGGGCACGTCCCGTCAAACTGAGCCTGGCAGATGCCGCAAACGTCGTCTTCGGGAATATCCCACTGCCATGTGGCGACGGAGTTCCATTCTTTGATGGTGACTTTCATGGTGAAGGGTTGGTAAGGCCCCCTTTTCTGGGGGAGATGAGTTTTTCAAAACATCGATGAGTGGTGTTGGATCTGTTGTGATGATGAAACCAAGACGAAGTTGTGTTAGGAAGTGAAATTCGAAGTGCCCGATTTACTCCAGGGTAGCAACCTCGTGACTTAGTAAGCTATGGGCGGGTAACTAAATCGTAGATTTGTATACAGGCAGATTCAATGCTAAATACAAAGCATTTTGAACATTTTCTTTGATCAAAACGGCCATTGTACATTTTGACTGCCTTGGTTAAATAATATTTTAGCCCGTCTTTGCATGCTCAAGCTTTGCCATCATGTTTTCTCTTGCCAGCCATCCAACCCAGATCAGCACTCCTGGGCCACCAAGAACACCAATAGCAACAGAGTAAAGCACTATTCGAGCCCAGGATAATTGACAGACACCCGCATTTTTAAGATCTCCAAAATTAAATGCCAACCAAAGCAACACTGTTCCAGCGGCGGTGATGTAATCATATTGGAGGAGGGTAAAAGTTGCTGTCAACGCATCCTCAGGGAGTTCAATAAAATATTTCGGGAAAAACACTTCTGACACAGGAAGAGGAGAAAAGAGAAGCATGTACCAGTAAGAGGCCGCACTAATGATTGCCATAATCCCTCCTCGGACATTCATATTCGTTTTGATGTGTTGCTGGACGGGTTCGGTTTGACGACTGGCAACAAACGGCCTGATTGCGCTTGATAGGGCAAAGAGCAGTATGGAGCCCGTTATTGGGAAGATCTGCCAGTACCAGTTTGCCAAGTGCCTCACCTCGAGATCAGGATGGAAGAAGGACAAGGCAAGAGGAAAAAGGAATGAGGCAAAGGTTGATGGCAGAGCAGCAGCCACGCCAGCCCGATCAAACTGTCGAGCATTGGCAGTGGAATATTTGCTCAGTGGAGAGAGTACGTAGAATAAGTAAAGGTAAACTGGTGCAACGGCCCCAAGGGTCACGAACTGGCCCAAAAATGTAGGCAAAAAGAATGCTCTGTGTCATTATAAATTAGTACAGAAATCAAAACTGGATAGCAGAAGAATATTGTTTACGCTTGGAAGAGAGTCCCCTGGTTGGCATTTCTCAGAGACTCAAACATAAGCAGGGCCCCAATAGAAGCACCGTCTGTCAAGAACACGACGCACTGCCACCAGGCCTTGGGATCCTCATAGAAAGCCAATGGGCTGAATATGATGGCGAGCGGAGAAAAGGCCTTGTCAAGAATCGGGATTCCAAATGCGGCCGTCTGGATAGGGACGCTGGTTCCATCTTTGAGGACATACCGCCCCTGGCTGCGAATATCTTCGATGAAGGTGCCCACGGGTGCTTGCATAGCCCAGGCTCGGAGCATCAGTGCCGTTGGTAGCACAAGCGGCAGGGCGTACAGCCATCGACTTAGTGCCATCTTTAGGCCTCTGCTCGGTAGCGAATCAATGGAGAGTAAAGTTTATAACGATTGATTGTCATATAAATCCCGTCCTTGCCGACGCTTAATGATGCTGCCGGGGGCTAAGATTGGGGGAGAAGATGGGGGGAGATTGGGGCAGCATCAATGTATTGCGTCAGGCCGCCAGTTTGTTTTATGTACGGCGGGATGCAATTAGTTCTACACCCCCGTCAAGTATTGACAAATCCTGCTGGATTCTGCAAAAACTGCCCAGATTTGTCATGGCCGCAAAGTTCGGAAGAAGCCGTCTAGATGAATTACAGTCACCTCGATTGGCCAAGGCTGCCTAGAAGGATTGATCGCGGTCGCCCACCTAGTCTGAAGTGCTTGCAGCTTGCAGCTTGCAGCTTATCGATGCGAGTCACTCGCGGCAAATGTCATGCGTGGTCCAAGCTCCCGCTGCCACCCCACCATAAGCGCCGAGTCAACCTTTCGCAGCTCTGGCGTGCCATGATCTAATCCAAACCTCATCTCCACCACCAAATACTCTTTTGCCATATGCAATGGCCGTGCTGCCGGTCGCGTAAGGTCAGGCCACTGAAATAAGCTAGAACGAGGCATAGGCAACACAGATCGAGCTGCCTCGGAGCTCTTTTCAGCGCAGCATCTGGCTCGACCACAGCGGAAGCGAAAAAAACAAACGTCGTCTCAAGCCCGATAGCGTCATAACTCACATCATTCTCGATGTCCTCAGTCACTGTTGGCCAGTCTGCCCGGGTCGGGCTGCCGAGGCTGGGCAGCCAGTTTTTGCGAACCAGCATGTCGACCAGACGCAATCTATCGTCCTACTTGGTCACGCCCAAAGAGCTTCACGAGGCCCTGAAGAAGAACCCCCCCTCTCCGATTAGCCCCGATGCTCGAGTGATTCCCCTATGCGCCGCATGGTTCCTCCCCAATGATGAACGGACCGGTATCCAAGCCTTCCGCGAGCAGCGCATCCCAAAGGCGCGCTTCTTTGACCTGGACAAGGCCATCGACAAGCGCAGCCCATACCCTCACATGCTACCAGATGGCAAAGGTTTTGCCGCGGCTATGAGCGAATTGGGCATTCGACGAGAGGACGTGGTTGTTGTCTACGACACGAAAGAGCTTGGCATCTTTAGCGCCCCTCGTGTGGCATGGACGTTTAGGATATTTGGCCATCCCAAGGTTCACATCCTCAACAACTTCAAGCAGTGGGTTGCTGAGGGGTACCCCACCGAGTCCGGAGAACTATACAATGTCGAGTGCAATCCATATCCTATTCCAGAGCTTGCATCAGAGAGAGTTGTTAGCTTCGAAGAGGCTAGAGAGGTGGCTTTGGACTCCAACAAGGAGGGAGCAGAAGGAATTCAGGTCTTGGACGCTAGGCCCAGTGGCCGCTTTACAGGCAAAGACCCAGAGCCTCGCGAGGGCCTATCCTCGGGACACATGCCAGGATCGATCAACGTGCCTTTCAGTGCTGTCCTGGATCCTGAGACCAAAATGTTTCTGCCCGCGGATCAGCTGAAGAAGGTATTCGAGGAGAAGGGAGTCGACGCTAATAAGCCCATCATCTCTACCTGCGGAACTGGTGTGACTGCATGCGCCATTGACACTGCCTTGGAAGTAGCAGGATTTCCCAACTCTAGAAAAGTTTATGATGGTGGTTGGACGTAAGTTTCTTCATCCCTGCTGTTATTCTACATATACGAACAAGCTGCTGACAGTGTGACAGTGAATGGGCTCAACGGGTTCAGCCGTCGGAGAATTTGATCCGCAAGTCGGAGTAGGGGCAACTTTTGTTTGTGCAGCTTGCTGTCGCTTTATTCGAGCCACGATACCCTCCCTTTTCTGTTTATGATTACTATGCCCTTGGGCCATGTACGAATATTGAATAACGGATAGCATTCAGCTTTCGTGGTTTTCTTCTCTTGCTTTGGTGCGATATCGTGGTCTCAGCTATCTCAACTTACATGCGGATTCTGGTGAAAAAAAAGAAAAGACACTCTCCAAAGAGAATCAGGGAGCTCCCAGTTATCCATTTGACCATTTTCAGTGCTGGCACTATTAGACTCGGCTGAGTCCTGTTCAGTTCCTTTCCTCAACCCCAAGTTTCAAAGAGCATACAGCCACCCATTGACGCTAAGAACGCGCTGGCTCACCTAGGTGAGCCTCTTTTGACTTACTCAGCTGCTCGGTGAAGCGCTCCCAAAATAGACCCACCCTGTTCTCGCCTAACAATTGAGGCAGCGACCCACAAGTTGGCTCTGTTAGGGCTCGCCTAACCCAGTCCACACCCGTAAAATTCCCAGACGGTGCTAGACCCCGCCAGCGAAAAAGTTCCCCAGTATCGAGGGCCACAACTCAGCGAAAAACAACATCAGGGCCGCTCCAGCGCATCGTCTATCCCGACCAACTCCCTCGCCGCAACAAACAACAAACCCATAATTCACAATGGCTGATCGCGGCGGTGCTCGTGGCGGTGGTTTCGCTTCCCGCGGTGGTGACCGTGGTCGTGGTGGTGATCGTGGCCGTGGTCGTGGCCGTGGCCGTGGACGTCGTGGCGGCAAGAGCGAGGAGAAGGAGTGGCAGCCCGTCACCAAGCTGGGCCGTCTTGTCAAGGCTGGCAAGATCACCAGCATGGAGGAGATCTACCTGCACTCCCTGCCCATCAAGGAGTACCAGATTGTCGACCAGTTCCTCCCCAAGCTGAAGGATGAGGTCATGAAGGTGCGCATTGCAGTTCTCCGCTTGAGATGGCCCAATTGCTCTGCTTTGCTTCCTTCTGGGATACACGGGAAACGGAGGAAGCGAGGCTATTGGGCTGAAAGCGCCGCAGAAATGGGATCAGTTTGAGCTAACCAGATTGTCTTTTGTCTTTTCTCGAAATATAGATCAAGCCCGTCCAGAAGCAGACCCGTGCCGGTCAGCGAACCCGATTCAAGGCCATCGTCATCATTGGTGACTCCGAGGGCCACGTCGGTCTCGGAATCAAGACCTCCAAGGAAGTCGCCACTGCCATCCGTGCCGCCATCATCATCGCCAAGCTGAGCGTCATCCCCGTCCGAAGAGGTTACTGGGGTACCAACCTTGGTCAGCCTCACTCCCTGCCCTGCAAGGAGTCTGGCAAGTGCGGTTCCGTCACTGTCCGAGTAAGCTCAACCCGTCCCATCTGTCGCTATTTCTTTGGTTGGAAAAAATTGGAATAAAATAAAGGAGGAAATGCTCTATTTTTATTTGGTTTTACTGACGTGGAATTTTCTCTACAACAGCTTATCCCTGCCCCCCGTGGTACCGGCATTGTCGCCTCCCCCGCTGTCAAGCGATTCCTCCAGCTCGCCGGTGTCGAGGATGCCTACAGTTCATCCGCCGGTTCCACCAAGACCCTCGAGAACACCCTCAAGGCCACCTTCACCGCCGTTTCCAACACCTACGGCTTCCTGACCCCCAACCTGTGGAAGGAGACCAAGCTGATCAGATCTCCTCTGGAGGAGTTCTCCGACACCCTGAGGGAAGGCAAGCGATACTAAGAGAAGAAACGGAAGGCGTGTGTAGTGGTGAGGAGGACTGGAAACGGTGCGCGGAGTCACGATACAACTTGTGTTTCATTGCATGGTTCGGCCGGTTAAGGACTTTGGTTCGGACATGAGCGTCATGAGGATATAAAAAATGGCCATGATCTGAAGTGAAGAAATTAAAAAATTTCAACTGGCGTTCTTTCATTTAAATTTTCGTCTGGATGTGCCCATTGGTGACTTGTTTTGAAATTCTCGTTTCTTTCCTTGAACATGAAGACGCGGTATATTCGTCTTCTTTTGAACTAGAACGATCATATATTGAACAAGTTATTAATAGGAATCATCTAATTGCCCAGGCTCCATTCCACACCATACATATCTAGAGACTAATTCATCCAGGCAGACCCAAATTTCAGCTATATCCCAACGCCCAGCCTTCCAACTATCTCTTCATCGGCAATCCAAGTTCAATCTTGGGCTCATCAACATCCATCGCATCTCCCTGGGTTCTTGTTTCAGGGAGATGATACGTCACCTCGCCCATCGCCAAAGGCACGCCCCGAGCATAAACAGGAACCGTGCTGGGTGTTTCTCGAATACCTTTCTCGCCTCTAGCCATTGCGAACAAATCTCGCTCCTCGCCTTTGCCCATCTTTTCTAGCAACGTCTGGGTACGACGTCTTTTCGTCGGTCGGCTCTGGGGTATCTGATCTGCAGGCAGAGGTGGCAAGTCGTCGGAAATCGCTTCGGATTTCCTCTTTTCAGGAGAACCCAAGACGACCGATTTGAGGACATCTCTCCAGGTGCGTTTCTTAGATGCCGTTGGCACAAGCTCTGTTGATGGGTTAGCGTATTCTCAGCACAATATAAGTTTTTTTTTTTCTCTTCGATAAGATTTTTCAACTTACTCATCTTCATCCTATTCTCAATCTTCTTCTTTTGAAGAGGCGTGTCTCCCATCATAAATCCACGCATGCCAGGAATAAACTTGCGCCGCTGCATTGCCTTTGTGTAAAATCGAATCTCATCTTGTTCAATCTCCATCTTTTCAGCAAAAGCAGCAGCAGCAGCTTCATTACTCGCGACGTCATCACCGTGTTTTCCTTTCTTAGGTCCTCGAGACGCAATAATCTGCCTTTTGCGCTCCGACTGGAGATGCACCGGCCAGTTGTTGATATCCCAAAACAAGTGGACAGCCTTTTTTCTTGACGGATGTCCGAATGTCCAGACCGGTTCGCGCCGTTTCGTTTTCAGATTTTGTTTCTGAGCTGCTGTGGCGTCTCGTTCCTTTTCAGAATTTTCCGCTTCTTTCTGGATGTGGGCATCAAGGGCATCAGCTCGAGCTTGATAGGCCGCCGTGGACTCTTTGCCTTTCCAGTGCGTCGCGAGCCGCTCTCGCCAGGATGTCGGATCTGCAACTTGGTGGTTCGCGGCGTAGCTATTGTACGGCAGAGGGAGCGGCCACAACATGGTCTTGTTCTCATACGCCTCACGTATGAGATTCTTGCGTACAATCTCAGAGGCCTCTTTCCACGCGGAACGGCCATCTTCTGCCCACGCCGATTGGTATCGTTCGTAAGTATCTGGATCCGCCGTTTTGACCACGTCCTGGTATGTCATTGTCATACGCCAGGAGCTGTTCTCCTCTTCTGGGCAGTTTAATGGGTCGTTGGGAAGCCTCTCGGCATCATCTTCCCAGCGTGAGATTGCGGCGCGGAGAACAGAGTCATTGTCTTCCTGTATGTCAGCGTCTCGGATCTTGTCTTGATTCTCTTCATGCACTCTCTTGAGTGTCTTGAGCGTTTGGCCTAGGCGGTAACCCAAGCAGTGGAAGAAGTTTGTCATCCGCCAATGCCACTCGGCACTTCTTACGGGATTCCTGATGAAGTCTCGAAGAGAGATGACGTCTTCCCTTCTAGGCATACCTCTAGGATACTCGTAGAAGTCTTCAGAGGATCCCGGGATGACAGAGACTTGCTCGAGGGAATTATCATCTGACGACTGGCTTTGCTGTTGCTGTTGTCGAGGCTCATAATCTGGCCATTTGACCAAGTCTTCGGGATGAAACTCTGTCTCTGGCCGACCAAACATCCATTCTCCATTCAGTACATTCGTGTATAGTCTACCTCATCATTAGCGATCCAACTCAATTTCCCAAGAGGCTGGGGGGGTGGGCAGAATGGAGAGAAAGAGTTCTTACCTCAGCACCTTCAAATCATGCAACTTTGGTGCCAGCAGTTTAACATCCTCCTCAGTGAATTTATATCTCTTAACCGGCCCACGACATCCAACATTCAGCTCTTTCAAGAATGCACGCATCGTCTTGGGCTTCATATCCCAGAATAACGATACAGGGCTAATATCATTCATCATGCGCGCCACTCTGGATAGCATGATTTCTCCCAGCCTCCGAAGGGATTCGTCCAGCATGTATGGACGATTCCGCGACGGTTGGCAAATATACTCTAGCCACGCCGCCTCTGTAGGGCGGATATTCGCAAGAGTACGTTTATTAGTCGATTCGTACTCGTGCTCGCCAAATAACAGATTCATCTCCTTTGTTGCCGATCGTTCCCCAGCCAGACCAGCTTCCACGGCTTCCAAAAGTCTAGTGATGAAGTCTCGAGGTGCTCGGTTCGCAGCTCGCTTCAATCCCTGTTGGATCTTTTGGCAGCGGCGCAGATGCTCGTACGTCTTTCTCATACTGAGACTCATCTGATCTGACATGACGGGTCCCTTCCAGTTATGAGGGAGGCCTGTACTGACCTCGTTGACTCCAAGAGGCTTCTCGATAGAATTACCCTTGACCCACTGAGCCCAGCGCAGTTGCTCATTCTTGAACTGCTGATAGGATCTCGTATAAGCCCAAGGATCTCTCGATTCCTTCTCGGGCGGATTCGCCAGCTTCTTGGTAGTGAAGAAAACTCCAGCATCGGACTTCTTCTTCTTTTTCCCGTCAACAGGCTCAGGCAGAGCGAGAACGCGCAAAGAGCTACACATTTTCCGATTCTCGTCATGGCTGAAGATGTTGAGGCAGTGCTGAACAGCAGCACGCTTGCCGCCGTGGAATCTAGCAAACGCTTCCAGAGTGCCTCTATTGACCTTCAAGGCGCTATCGTGGCTTTTTGGAGGACGGAAACTGCCTTTGCCCTCGAGAAACTTTACCGTCTGCGCCATGTCGCCATCCATGCATTCCTCGTAAGCTTCATTCTCGCAAGCCGCAAGATTTGCCGGCTCTGTCGCCTCAGCACATGGACTAGCTGCCCAAAACCTCTCACTGTCCTTCCAGTAAGGCTCCAGATAATCTCTTCTCAGGGTCTCGGCCGGCAGCTCGTATCGCTGGTCATAGGCACTGGCCACATCTGCATGGAGAAGACGTCTAGGGGCTGTCAAGTCACGCCGCCCAGGGCGAAGGGTGATCTCAGGGCCTGGGAGCGGAGGCAGTCTTTTGCTCTGCGTCGGCCAGATGTTCGTTGGAAAGTCGACGATGAGTTGTTGCTCACCGTAATGGTAGTTCTCAAAGATGGCGTGTGCCTGAAGCATGTTGTGAACGTCTTCGAGATCGTGAAACCAATCTTCGTCTCCCTGAGCTTGAGAGCCCAGATATGCGAGGTACTCGGTCAGCTCTGCGATTTTGTGCTTCCAGTCCGCCGTCCGATCGACGTCGCAGTCAGCAAGGAAGTTTTTCGCCCTGGCTAGTTGAACTTTTGGTCCTTCGATATGCCATTCTTTGTATGGCTGCAGCGGGGAATCAGCTGGAGGGATGGGAGTCCCAGGTCGTTGGTTCAAGTTTTGCGAGGACTCGGTTTCAAAATCCATGCTCTCATCTCCGTCTTCGTCTTCTCCTAGATCATGTTGTTCGATGGTCATTTCCAGCTCGATCCCAGACTTTGCCGGCAGCTGGGAGAATATCTTCTTTTGAAACTCGTGCTGAAACCTTTTTGAATGTTCTGAAAGCTTGGCAAATACTACAGTGAGAGCTTCTTTGAGATGAGGCGCCATATTTGGCACGTCAGCTTCGTCGACCGACTCCTTGCTTAACAGCTTATCCATATGGGAATACATCTTCTCCACCAACTCAAGCTCGTGGAGAGAGATGGGGTCCGTAATCGAAAAAGCCCCTAGTGAGTCGCTGTAAATGGGATCGAAGCCATCGTATGCGTCTATACACTCGAGAATCGCGTCTTTTGAGGTCAAGTCTGTTGCAAGAGGTTGCAAACGCCGGCCTTTCTTCATAGTCACTGTACTCTCGATATCTCCATTCTCTGCGTGTGGAGTTGGTTAATGGTGCTTCTTCTAAAATCACGGTTCTGTAGAGATATATACCTTTTACTATAGGAAGCCAGCTTACGCTGTCCGCCTTTACCGGGTCCCTGAACTGGAAAGCCTCGCTGAATGATGCGGCAAGCGATATCTCCTGGTCCCCATCGCTATTCGTATCTTCAGTACTCTCTGGCTCCTTTAGGTATGAGTAGCGACAGCACAACAACTCTGAGAATAGCTGACGGCAAGAGCGGTTCTTCTGTAGAAATTCGTCCAAGGCACGATCTCTGGTGAGAAGATTCAACCGCTGCAAGAGATCCCCCGGTCCAGTCGAAGAACCCAGTTCCTGAGCTTTCATAGGTAGCTTATGGAAATTTCGAGAGAGTATCTTCCCTATCTTCTCTGTGTAGTGAAGGAAGTTACAGTTAGATTCAACGTTGCTTTTCAATCTTGTAAACAGTCAAGTTGATCGGCAACAACTTACCAAGGATATCTTCAACCCTCTCCAAGAGCTCGAGCTGTAGTTTCCCAGCAGTTTCGTCTTCAACGAGTTTACGCCCTCGGAGGCGAGGTTTCACATTTGGCGGAAAAACTTCCACTTCTTCCACCTCTGTGACTGCTGAGCAGACGGCAACTGACATGGCTAATGCTGTCACGATACCCCCAAAACCGTAAGTGTGTAGTGCTGTGCGTGTTCTTCAGAAAGTCACCTATTCATTCGCTAACATCTGATGATGGTTTTTTGCAGGTAAACGTAGGAAAGAAAGTTGATCAAGACAAATGGAGAAGAAGAAAAAATATCGGCCGTCCTTCAGCTTCAATGGTCGTAACCTTGGCTACGCATTATAACCTCAGTGCGCTTCTTCTTCTTTTGAAGCATGTTTAATTTGAGCAGAAAGATATATTTGGCGCATTTTGACAGCTCTTTGAGTTCCTAATCCGGAAATTTCGAGACCCTGAAGACGTTTTGGGCACACTCTCAAGTTACGTGCACTGGACGCTTCAAAGGCTTCTTTGTCAAGGCTTGCGCATGGAGCAAATGAGAGCGGGCTTGTCGGGAGTCCTCTATTTTGACCATGCTTATATCAAACTTTTAAATTTTTTCAGTAGTTGTATATTCAGATATGAACTAGCTGCCCTGTCGAGTCCCAGTTGTGGTGTTGGTTAAACTTTCCCTTGTCGTCAAGTGCGCTGACTTCGTCGAAGCACAGCTGCACGACCGAGGGACTTGAACCCCACAAAGAAGAGACTTCAATTTGCCAAATATCTGAGTACTATTCTTTACATACTACCACCCAAGACGAAAGTCATTTACTGGTTCCCCCGGATCACTGGAGGCAGCAAATGAGAGGTGAAAATTTAGCCCATCTCACCACTCCAGGGTAGCCCCGCATGGGACTCCACCACAAGCAATTGACATGATATCACGAAACAAGAGACCAAAATAATAGAATTACGCCATACAACATACTAGTCAATTTTATGACAAGGGCTATGGCAATAAAGCCGTCCTTGAAAACATCAGTCGGAGCATATTAGCATGTACCGATATACAAAGACACAGTAACCCCCCTTCCACTACCCCACAGCTCAATAGCCTCACAAAGAATATCCTCTTATTACATCTCCGAATTCAGCCACGACAGACAACCCCAACGCCGAACAAAAAAAAAAAAAAAAAAAAAAGGCCTTTTTACATCCCTCCAGTCTCACTCACCAACCACCAAACGCACAACAAAGAAAAAGAAAAAGTTCCTTCAAAGGGAGTCATCACCAACCTCTTCATGCTCGAAACCAACCTCTCATCGTCTCATCCATCCAACCTCACCACTCAAAGAAAAGCAATAGTCTTCTTTCTTTGTCTTTTATAATTCTCCTTTATCTACCCCACTTCAACCACCTATATTCGCAATTGATTCTTCTTTAGTCCTCTTTGTTCGTCAAACCAACCTCTCAAGCCATCCATCGATCCATCCCTTCTCCCCCTTACAGCACCGCTTAGTCATCTCACGATACTACTGGATCCCATACCCTCATCAAACTACTCCTATCCGCTCATCTTGGCACATACCAAAGGTCTAGAATGCACCAAGATTAAATGTGTTATTTGATCAGCCCCAAAGAATGAATAGAGGAAGAGATGCTCCGTAGAAGAGAACAAAAGAAATATGCTCACCCCTGAATACCAAAGCCCAGTTTCAAGCCTCATTAGTCAACTTGCTTGGCCAACATCATCACAATATGATTATTACTGAGCAATTAGGAACATGGAACTAGAAACAGTCTCTCGTCGTCACTCGCCAGTGTAGGCGTGGAAGAATTAAAACCATACTACTAGCTGCACCACGTTACATACAAGACAGACAAAACAGGCGATGTAGTAGAAACCACTTTTTTTCTCATCTTGGTTCCGCTAGAAAGCACACGCACTGCTGCCAAAAAAAGAACCTTTACTTCTTTTTTTTTTTTTCTGTTGTGCCTGTCCACACTACCTTATATGTACAAGCTGAGGGGGTAAAAATATTGTGAGAGACCAGGTCTGAGCAGCCCACGCAATCTATATCCCACCTTCGATCGGCCAAATGGACGGATAAAGCTCACTTGTTCCAATCCCTTCTTTTCTGGAAGAGAGCGATGGGTATCACTGCGCCTGAGAGCGCGAATCCGTCCGCCATTTGCCCATCTGCTTTTCGAAAGAATTATACACCAATTGCCTTGTGTGTTGCAACAAGGCTCATGTTCCTCCCATATGCCCAGTAGAGATTAGATCCGAAAGTAGGAAAAAAAAGAAAACCACAACTTTCGGCTGCTTCTTGCACCGATGGCCTTTAAGCCTTGTCCCTCTCCGCTCCGTGGTATCCGTGACTGTTTTTTTTTACTCGGCCACTTTGCATTCTTGTTGTTCCTTTTAACACTCAGTCTGAAGGCTGGCCAAATTCCCCCTTCAACTCCTCTATCCCCTCAAATACTATATCCACCACAAGACAAAAACCCCCCCTTTTCTATCGGAGGTACGCGCAACTCCTGGATATGCGGTGCTCCATACCCGTGGAAACAACGCACATTGCCCCCAGAAGCGCAAAAAAAGAAAACCGAAAATAAAGATAAAAAACGACTCGAGGAAAATTGGGTATGATCCGCGTTCCATTTTTTTTGGTGCCATGAAGACTTGCTGAGAAATTTGATTTGCGAAATAGGTAACAAAACAATGAAAAGGAAATAAAAATGTGAAAGAAAAAATGAATTAAAATCAATCGCTAAATGCCATGACGTAGATATGAGACAGATCATTCTGAGAGTGACTATCAAGGTTGAATGTTATTGCTTGGAAGAAGTCGAGCTCATCGCCATGACCTCGAATATTGAAACATGAACACCCTCCATCACCCATAAGCTAATATGGATGAAGGCGGGGAGAAGAAGCGAGTACTGTATTAATCGATCGACCATGCCAAACGGATGCGCCACCAAAACTCCTAGTGCTGGTGGATTCCGTGCTGGTTCACGAAAGCAGCGTATTGTTGTACGTGCTGGGAGTACGCGGAAGGATGGCTCTGAGGAGTTGGCGTGACGGGGCATCGAGGAGGCAGCTGGTGGTAGGTCTCCTTGGTCGCGTTTCCATAGGCATTGTCGGGAGTAATGGGAGGCGTGAGGTAACCGTCGAAGCCGGCGGCAGCGCCATGACCCTTCTGAGGGGTACTGTAGATGTCGGCGGCGTGTCTTGACGGAGTCTCGGCAGCAGGCGAGGGGGGGTTGGCTTGGCGTCTGGCCATGGCGGCCTGCTCGGCCATAAAGTCTGCCAGTTTCTGCGATGCCTTGGACAGTGACGATGAAGAGTACTTGCGTGCCAGGGTTGGCGAGGGCTGGTTGAGGTGCTGAGAGAGGGTCAACAGGGTCAGGTTCTCGGTGTGATCCCAGTCGCCGTCGTTGACCTCGGGTCGGCCCAGAATAGCTCTCGCCAGAGCCAGTGAAGAGCGTGCCATCATGGAAGGCTTTGTTGAAACAAAGTCGCGGTGGTACAGGGCAATCTCGCACAGGTAGGCGGCCATGTGCTCCACCTCCTTGTCGTCCTGCTCTTCGGCAACCATGAGCTGGGTGAAGAAGTCGACAGTGGGGTGGCCAATGGTCCACTCGAGAGTGTTCAAGACGTGCATCTCCATTTGCGTAAACATGCCGGCATCGTACAGGCCGCAGCACATGTTGTTGAGTTCATGGATCTGAGGAACCCGGTCCTTCTTGTCACCATACTTGGCTGCGATGAGAAGAGCGGCGCAGCCGACGAGCTGGTAGTGCTGCTTATACACCACTCGTCGAGAGCAGTATCGGTCCAGCAAGTTGACGGTCAGGAACAGCGTCTCGGGCAGTAGGGCGAAAGCGGCATGGGCCTCGATGAGGAAGTCGATGAGGTACGGTCGCATGAACCATTGGATCTCACGTTGCATGTCAATGAGGTTAGCATCGGGAAGGGTCTCCTCCTGCAGATGATTGTTAGCGCCAGATTGTCAAGGATAGCCCACAGGCTGAACAAGGTCGCAACATGCCTCCATGTGTCGCATATGCGTCATGATGTCCCCCAGGTACTCCTCGCCGGCGAGACGGGAAAGCTCGCAAGCAATCGTCTCTTGCCGGCTGCGCGCAAGCATCTTTGCGGTATCTCGGAAGCTGCGAGAGTTGGACTGGGGTTCATCGCTCTCGATGAAGAAGTGTTCGTCGGGGTGAGCATAAGCCATGATGGATGAGGGTTTCGCTGTAAAATTAGATGGGTCGGTGTTGATTATATGTCTAGAAAAAAAGAGTGTCGGGCAAGTTCTCCAGGAAGCTTTGAGTGGGAGAGACTATTGAGTAAAGAGCGAGCCTTGGGTGCGATCAAGGAGTGAATGCAACCCTAGGAATTAAGATATTAAGATATTAAGGAGCGTGGTGAAGAAACTAATGGAAAAGAGTGACTGTGGCTGGGAACAAAGCCGGGATCATGTAGGCTGGAAATTCGATCGAAAAATGCAAAAGGGACCGGGAAAGGGGCGCCGTTTAAGGACAACGAAGGGACCGACTGGACAGCTCTAATAGAAAATCAATGGCGTTAGTTTTTTATGGTTAAAGAGTCCCGATAGAGAAGAGGAAAAATGCGATCTGGCAGACGGGCAAGACATGCAAGCACGAGAAGCCTCCCCTGAGGCTGGAGGCCACTCCCTTTTACTGAACGGGGGGGTTGGCTGGCATGGAAGCGCAGGCTGGATTGGCACGAGGGTGCGATGGACCGAAGCAGGGGATGAGCCTCTTACCGCCCATGCACAGGGAAGAAGGAAAAGAAGAAAAAAAAAGGGACAGCCAAGCGAGAGACACGCCGGGCAATTGGCGGGATCAACGAGCGAACGTCTCCCGCGCAGCAGAGGCGCCGAATGATAGCTCGAGTGCAGCTGTGGAGAAGGCGCTGAGAATGCGGAGAGCGGGCTCGGGTATGCAGCTGTTGAAGGGAGCGTGCATCCCAAGATTGGAGATTCTGCTGCGGACTGGCGGTTCTCTCGGCTGGCTGATGGCGGAAGGAATAATGAAGAAAAGGAAAAAAAAAAAAAAAAATTGGTCTTACCTATTGTCACACTGGAACACCTTGAACTGGATTGGCACCGGAAGGCGGTGGGCAAGAGGATTAAATCATACGAGGTGGTGAGCGCAAATAGTCAAGAAGCCGACGCTGCAAAGCGGAAGCTGGCTGGACGAGGTGACGGGGAGCTGAGCGAGCAGATCCACCAGAGCAACCAAATCGTGCAGATTTTCCAAGCCGGGACTGGAAACGCCTGTAATTGGGCGAAATTGGAGATCGAGACAAAAAGGCAACAATTGTCTACGATTGCAGTTTCGGCAAGATCTTTATTCTTTCTCGAAAAAAATTCGTCTCGTCGAGGAGTGAGTCGGGAGAACGAAGAAGGGCGAGAAGGAAATAAGAAAAAACGGTTGGCGAGCCAGGCGATTTTTGGTGGTAAAATTCCTTGTCGCTAACGGTAAGGAATTCTGGCCAAAAAGGAGAAGCAGGCGGGAAACCAAGAGCAAAGAAAGAAGAACAGAATACCAGTGAATAAAACAGAAAAAAATACCAGTCCTTGATTCACTTTGATTCCTCTTCTCTCTCTTCCGTCTCGTCCTGGATGCTGTATAAGAGGGCCGCGGGCGAAGGGGGGGTTCGTCTTCAAAAGCGGTGGCCGGTCGGGATTCGATTCTCCTCAGTCCAAGGCCAGACTCCTGTTTCGACCGGGTGGTGGTCGGCAGAGGAAGCGGTTGAATGGATGAGGGAATGAGTGGATAGGGAAGAGAGAGAGAGAGAGAGAGGAAAAGGAAGAGGTCGAAGAGGAAGAGGTGGGATAAGAGGTGGAAGGATGGAAGAAACGAGAGAGGACTGGAGAGGCGGTAGTTTTAACTGGACAGGCAGTGCGCTGCTGCTAACGCTGCAATGCTCCAGTGCTCCGTACAGGTACTGGAGTGCGAGCGGAGTGAGGTGTACGAGCTGAGTTTAGGTACATGGAGCTCTTTTGGCGCGGTACATGCCCCGTGCTACAGGTACCGCAGACAGCCGGCGTAGAGTGTGTCGCGCTGGTACCGCCCCTGCCCGGGGGTGTAGCTTGGCAGCACCGAGCCCAGAAGCAGCGCCTTAGCTCGCAGCATGGAGCCAGGGCATGGATCAGGAGCCTTGGAGGGGAGCGCGACATGGATGGCCGCGGTACTTGGCTCGACTTGTGCAAGCAGCATGAGCATGGAACATGGAGCCAGAGCCAGGAGCCCTGCCCGGCTCTGAGCGCAGGCTCTGGCTCTGGCGCTGGCCCTTGCTGGAGGGGGGGCCTCGTCAGTGGTTCAGCCGAGTTTGCTCCAAGGCACTAATCTAGCAGGCAGCGTCGACTTGTGCTGCACCCGCACCCGCACCGCGTCGCCTGCAAAGGAAGACTGGAGTGTGGTGTGTGGGCTGCATGGCGACAGGTACGAGCTGGAGCACTCAACTCGTACGCGCAGCGAACCAGCGAGCTCTCGCAGGGGGTGCGGCCTGGCGGAAGAGGCAGCGCCCCGTGCATGCTGTGGTGTAGTACTGTAGCGTAGTGCTGGGTGTGAGGGCAGCGAAAAGGGACAAATTGTTTACATAACATCTGCGCTGCGATGCGTGTTGTATTGATACCATCTTTTTTCTACGTGTGAGCGTTCGTGTGTGCGTCCCAAAGTCGTGTTTGCCGTCGATCGATGCTGATGCAACGAGATGCCTATAACGTGCTGCAGCAGACGCGCACAGGGACCAGGAAACAGCAAAGCAACGAACAGCCCGGATCCGCCGCACAGAATAGGGGGGCAGCCGCCTTGTGTACAGCATCTGCTTGTGCACGCTTCCACACAACGACATCAGATATTCAATTATACAGCGTCGGGGGGCAGCGTCAAAAGCAAGGCGGTTTAGGAACAACACAATGTCAAACCGAGACATGACCGATGCCATTCGCAGAGCTTTTAATTAGTCGTGGTGCGAGCACTCCCACACTCTCTCGCCACAAGTGCATACATATCTCACTCCCTACCTATCTTCAAGGGCCCCCATCGCCCAAAACTCCTGCTGAGCTGCCTCTTCAGTGGCTCGACTCTGATTTTGATTTGGCCGTGCTGATTGCTCCCTCGGGCGTTGCGTGCTTCTGCGTGCTTCCTTCACATAAAGGCGGTGTCGCTGCTGACGAGGGCTGTGGTACGAGAGAATGCAGTAGGGCCAAAGTATTCATGTACATTCTCTCTCTTTTTTTGGCGCCCGGCAGAGAAGCCCCTTTTCCCCCACCTTATTTGCTCCCTCTCTTTCGCTCAGTTCCACGCAGGCAGGGATGCGGCTTGCATTCGGTGATGGAGCGGTTTGACGTTGGTGATGAGCAGTACTGGCAATTATAGCGGCAGCATTTCTGTTGGTACTGTGCTCATCTCTCGTACCGTACCTGGCGAGCTCCGCCAACAGATGAGAGACGAGAAACCTTGAAATGGCAGCACCACAAACACCACCACCACCACCACCGCCATCACCACCGCCAAAGCACGGCTGCTCAAGCGTTGGTAGCGTCAATGTTAATTCAGATTGTGAGCGATTCCATCACCAGGTATACCTACATACTCCGTACACTTGCTCGGATAAGCATCCCCCCTTGTCCCTTTCAATGCGGAGGAGTGGTGGGAGTGCCTCATGCATGTGCATACGGAAAACTGTACTTGGACGCATCCAGCGCCAAGACCGGATATTTCGTGCAAGTGTGGCTTGTGCACCGCCCAAAGCAGACACAATCGGCATCGACGCCAATGTACAATATCGTCATGACTTTTTTTTCCTGCTGAGACGGTGAGCGGCCCAGCAAATCGGCCGCTGGAAACTTGATCCCATCTGGGTCTTCAGCCGTAGCCGTGGCTGTGGCGCGCATCCCGTCCTACCATCAATCACTACAGGTCGGTCTTGTTGATGTTGACATGTAGTGCGTGTGTTATTCCCATCAACATCGTCAAATGTTTTATGTTGCTGCCGCTCAACTACATATTGTTTGTTTGTTTGTTGTTCTGGGGCCTCATTAACAGGCCTCTGCTTGAGCCCCCCCTGGCCTTGACCCCATTTTCAATGCGTGCGTGTGGCGAGGGCGATGGGACAGATTGAAGCTTGTGCCAGCCGCTGCTCCATCCCCCATGTGCTACAAGCGGTAATTTCCAGGCACTCCGACAAATAACATGGACATCCTGATACGGGAAACCTTAATAGCGTCCTATTTCAAATCCATCTTTTAGCTCTCGCGTTTCTCAACTTTTGCCAGGTGAATTGCCAGGCTGCATATCGCCCGCAGAAGAGGCGGGTGACGGTGCCAGGCTAGGTGCATGAAGCAGCACACCTCTCTGCAGTTAAGCTTTGTCAACTTGCAACAAGTAGCGTCAATGTATCAATGAGGCGACTACATGCATCTATAAAATACCACCAGTGTAATCCAGGCTCCGTTTGTAGCCAAGCATGTGAGGACAAATGCCATGAGTTGTCCAAGTCTCTCGCACATCGATCAACCGTGACCAGGATCCTCAGGCCTCGCTTACTATGGAATGTCGAATGGAAGTTGTCTGGGGCTTCCAAAGAATGACCCCGTGATGTTCATTAATTGACAAGGACTGGGGACCCAACGCATGCTGTACTGTATAATCCATGCCCTGTCCATCTAATTTTGGACCATCCAACTTCCGAGACAACGACAGCGATATATCATCAATGACAAGCATCCGCAGTTTCCAATAGTGCTCAGCAACATGCAACAAGGCGGCTGTGCCTAAACCTGTGCAGCTGGAGATGGCTTCGATATCAGAAATTGTCTGCTAATCAGAAAGGCAATGCGCTGAGCCGCATGATGGCTGCAGTCGGCGGATGCCATTTTCAGAATGCGGAGATGCTGCCTAGTGCGGCCTCTGCGCTATTGGCCACGGACGCTTATATACCCGCCAGCAGCAAAGCTTCAACCCAAGGCCGGGTCTTTGATGATCTGACCAAGTGGTATTATTTCCTGAAATCTGCAGATCAGAGAGGGATGCAGATATGCATATTTAGTCCGTATGAGGTTCAAAGCTGCTGCGAATCGTGTTGCCCATCAGCTGAGTAGCCAGGCAGCCGCTGTCTGAGCCCATCCGCTGAGCTCCTGCCAGCCAGTCATTCTCGAAACAGCAACCACTGCGTTGCTGTCATCAACGTTTCAACCTGCTAGCAGTACTACTTACTGCTAGCATCACATATACTAGCAGCAACAGTAGTAGAATGTCGATGCCCCGTATTCCACTCGATAGCGTGTCGCCCAGAGCCAGGCCAGGCCAGGCCAGGCCAGACCTCTCGGCATCCCCCTGCCTGCCATGGAGCCCGTGCAGCTAATCAATTGCCAACTCGACCAAGCACAAGTGCTACTCGTCCTGGCGAATTCGCCGTCGCCGCTGCGGCTTCGCGCTTCAACGGGATGATTAGCGGTTGCAGGGCGCCGCGACGAACGCCTGGACGGGGGCCGCCACCTCGAATCGTGTCGGGCCAATCAGTCGGCCCAGACGCGCTCCTGCACGAGTGTCGGAATCCGTCAATTATGCATGTCATGATGAGCCCTCACGCCAATCAGTCGGGCTTGAAAGGCGGCCTCTTTGGGGGCCGCGCCGCACCAAGTCATGATTGAAAGCCCGCGGTTTTTGGTAACATACATGCAGTCATGTAAGTCATGTCGAATGGCGGCAAGCTGATGGCTGAGGTTGAGACTGAGCAGCTTAATAGGAATACTATTACTAGTATACTACCATTGCACTCAGTCTGTGCTGTAAGGAACGCAATACTAGTGCTCCACTCTTGAGACTATCATCAATATTGACCCCTAGAGGTACACATATATATTGCATGTACTGGATGGCACTTGCCTATTTCTGAACAATTATCAATAGATACCTAGGTAGTAGGTATGATACAAAGTGTACAGTAATAGAAGAATCAATCCGCATGAGAATACCACGGATAGAGGCAACCGGCGGAACGCTGTCAGGCAAATCTGCCTTGGGTAAAT